ATTCAAAGACGGCAGAACAAACGCAAAGGTTGAAATATGGAGATTTGGAGATAGTATTGAAAAATGACCATTTTGAATTCGTTTGCAAGGGTGGTGCAGTGATATCAAATATAAAAGAAATTTTATTTATGAATTCAAAAATTAAAGGAATAACGGATGATATAACATCAATTCCACCAGAAGAACAGAGATATTACGCATTAAATGCATTTCCTAAAGTTTTGAAGATTGGAAGATTTAATTTAAATGAGGAATTCATAGAAGGTTTCCTAAATGACATAATGAAGAAAGCAGATAAGGAATATGTGGATAGTGAGTTAATGAAGAAGGCAAATTTGGTTTATGTTGATGAAAAAGATAATGAAATTAAAGAAAAGGTTGAATGGTATCATGAATGGACATTTGAGACTTTTAAAGTTAAAGCTGATACAGAATGGGTTTCTGAATGTTTAGACCTTAAAGCAGATAAAACTTATGTTAACGATGAGTTAGAGAAGAAAGCAGATAAGGAAAAAGTTATTTCATTCATTAATACTGAGTTAATGAAGAAAGCTAATATATCATTTGTTAATGAAGAAATAAAACAATCAGAGGTCTATTTTACCCCACCATTTTTAAATTTTATGAAATCATCAGATAAAACCTTTGATATAGATTCTTTTGAATGGATATGTTTCGATGGAGTGACCATGTATTTATTTTATACAGCTGGAGTGCTTTATTATTTTAAAACAAATGATTTTAAAAACTATGAATCATTTACTCCATCTGTTTTGAATCCTGATACACGAAAGCCAATCATTAATCCAAGAATTTTATATGTTGAATATAATAACGGTAAATTTATGGGAATGATAACGGTTGGAGATGATTTTTGCCCTTGTTATTCATTCGATTGTATCCAATGGTTCAAATGTAATTTAAATCAAGATGCTAAATTTAAATATTCAAATAATCCTATTAGATGCGTTAATAATAAATGGGTACTAATTTATGAAGTCAATCAAATTTTCATTAGTGAGGATGGGATAAATTATTATATGTTTAGTATGATGTCATCAGATTTGAAAATTGATTATACAAGTAAGTGGTATTACATTAACAACATGTATTTTATCCTACAAAATGATAAAATTTATAGATCATCTTCAATACCACAAGGTCAATTTGAACAAATTTTTCAAGCTGATGGAGACATTGAAGCTTTATGTTATGGATCAAATGTTTATGTTCTCGTTTCAGGTGAAATGGTCTATTCATATCCTGTAAGTTATAACAGACATATTTATTTATCACAAGATTTATCAAATTGGGAATTGGTTTATTCATTCACTCCAAAACTTACTCGAAATTATAGATTTACAAATTTATTTATATTGATGGGTATTTCATTGCTTTAGGATGGTGATTTAGTAAATATCAGTAGTGATGGAAGAAACTGGTCTGAAATCACAAAATTTCAAGATGTTAGAAAAGCAATTTTCAAAAATAATACGTTAATATTGATAACAAGACCAGTTTTAAATACTCACCCAAATTCAATATTATATAATAAATTCAATATTCATAATGGATTAAATACAATTCTTGAGATGATTTACCCCATTGGTTCTTTATATATGTCAATGAATTCAACAAATCCGGCAACAGTTCTGGGTTTCGGTACGTGGAAGCAGATTGTAGATAAATTCTTATACTGTGCTAACTCTTCAAAGCAAACAGGAGGATCGAAGAAAATTACTGAAGCAAACCTTCCACCGCACACTCATACAGGAACTACAAACACAACAGGTAATCATTCACATTCAATAACAAAAAGAGGTTATAGAAATCTTGCAGCAGGTTCGGATAGACAGGGAATGGATAGATATGATATTTCAAGCGACCCAGTAGATTCAAGCGCAGGTATTTTCTGTGGAACCACAGGAAATCATTCACACACTTTCACAACAAATCCAACAGGCTCGGGTAAAGATTACATGCCACCATTTATGACTGTATTCGCATGGTTTCGCGTTCAATGAACGCTCAATGTTTGTGAAACAAACTTTAGAACGGACTGAAAGTCCTGAGCTCCAAAAGAGCGAACGGCATAATTTAAATTTTTATTTTAGTATAAATGAAGATTCTACCATATGGTGTTATTGGAAGAGATAAAGATGGAAACCCAATATTTGATCCAAAGTTAAAATTAAAGTTACTGACAAGACAACAACTTGAAAAGTTGCTGAAACCAAAACAGAATGAAAAATGAGAAAATGAGAAAATGAGAAAGAAAAAAATTTAAATTATGCAATTTTATTTTTATCATAAATGACCAAATTAATTAAGCCAACTATTTCTAAATTAATGATACCAATGAAATCATTTCATGGAGTACTTATCCCAGGTTCTTCACAATTAGCCGGGGCAAGTGTTGTGACTCAAGGTGGAACATTAGCGAATCCATTCAAATTATTAACTAAAGATGAACTTAATAAAATGATGATAAAATAACTGATAACAAAATTTTATTTCACTGCTACCATAAAAACAGGTGAGATCTCACCTCTTCACCTAAAATATATTTTAGGTCAAAGCTTCCACGAGAGAAAAGATTCCTCATTCGCTAAGGATTCCAAAAATGAAAAAATCATTGATTTCGGCTGAGAAAAAACAGCAAAACCCTTCTTCCACGGGAACAAAGAAATAAAGAAGAAATAAAGTAAATTTTTTATTTATTCCCGTGGAAGATAGAGCACTTTTATGACACTTTTTATTCACGACAAACAAGACAAATAAAGAAAATAGAAAATACGGCGCTGTCGCGGTTCGAACCACAGACCCTGACCCCTCCATAACACCACCTTAGACCACTGTGCTACGTAGCCTGTCGACATAAGATTTTATAAATTGCATATTTGACGTAAATTTATTTCCCAGTTATTCAAAAATAATTAATTATTGAATAACCTAAAATCATTAATGAAAACATAAACGATAACATTTATTTCCTGTGTTGTTGTCAAAATGTCATGTTGTCATCATTTTTAAGAGAAGTTAATTGACATGGTAGCACATGGTAACATGGTAGCACTGAAAAAAATTAAATTTGGATTGAGTTTAAAAATTCATCTTTATTAAATTCATCTCTTCCAATCAATTTATTTATTCTATTAAATTCTTTTATTTTTACTTCACTCAGTTTAAGAATTGAACGGTAAGTTTCTAATTTTTCGATTATTTCTTTCCTCTCTTTATCGTTTTCAACCTCACCGCATTGCGACTTCTTTTTGTAATAGCATATTTTTGATTTAATTCTGTTTAGTTTCTTTTTATATTCATCGTCTGGACTCTTGGATGCTTCGTTGTCACTCATTTCTTACGAAATAAAAAAAATTAAATGTTATTTAAATATAATGGAGTAATAAAATAAATCGGAATTTCTATTAATTTATTGTTAACCTCAACTAATGCATTGCCGTTAATATATCTAACAAATTCAGCTATTGTGTCAAATCTTCGTCTTCTTTTTGTCATTGATTTATCAGTTTTTCCATAATCGAGATGAATCAAAACTTTATCCCCTTGTTTAAAATTCATGAGCCCCGAATTAATTTGTTCACGTTTAACATCATTCAACCTTTCCATTTGCTTTCTAATATATTCCCATTCTTTTGAAATATCATTTTTCATTTCCACCGGTTTCATGTTTATAGTTCTATGCCATGTATTATTGTAATAATATACTAACTGCTGTATGATGGAGTCATGATTTCCATCCCAGTATATCTGACCGTTAACCCCTAACGCATCTCTAAGAGTTCTCATTACCGCATCAACTATTTTATTATGAAACGTATATGGAGAGGATGAAAAGAAAAAATTAATTTGTGGGAAATAATGAGTCATAGCTGCCTGAAATCCTTTATCACCATCACCCCTGATATTATCTACTCTTTCATGATCTAGTAAGTATTGAATAGCTCTTCTTGTTTCCTGTTCTGTTTTCCCTTTCACCGGAATGCAATATAAATATCTAGTGTTAATGTTAATGGCAAATAAATAAGTAACGTTTCCTTTTGAATATTCAGATGATCGATTTCGTATGAATATGGATATGGTGCAAATGAAGGGCGACTAAATTTTTCCTTTAACGGTTGAATTTTCGGGTCAATTGGTTTATTTAATATCTTGAAATCCTTTTTAAAATCTTTTTGCTTCTTTAATGTTTGAAATGGATATAATAAAGTGAATGATGAAGGATTAACTGAAGGAGGAGGAGGTACTGTCGTTAGAGGTTTTGGTGTTGCAAGTGGTTTAATTTTATCTGCTTTGATTTTGGATTTCATTCCTTCCTTCATTAATTCTGGATGTATTCTATTCATTTGTTTTAAATATGCTGTATATAAAGGTTTAATATACTTTCCCGCTTCGAGTTTATGTTGAAGGATGAATTCCAAAAGTTGATCTTCATTTAAAAGTCGGGCTGAATATGGTTTAACTAATGAATCATAAATTAAAGCTTGTGCTTCATTTATGGTCTGAAGGACCTGGGCGTTTTGCACCTTTTGTTTTTGCTCCTTTTGCTTTTGCGGCTCAGGATTATATAATTTATATAATTCATCAATATCTTCTTCTGTTAATACTTTATTTTTAAAATCTTTCAATTGTTTAAGTTGTGATTTAGTTTTTCCCTTTGAATATTCATTATTTTTAATTTTGTCTTTAATTTCAGAAATTATTTTATTATGATATTTCAAAATTTCATTTTTATAATATGGATAATAATATTCCATATCATCACCCGTTATATTATTATTATATTTTTGGAGATATGATTTTAATTCATAATAACTAAGAAATTTTTGATTAAGTACTAAATCAGCAATTAAATTTTTTAAATCTGTGTTATCCATTTATATAAAAATAAAATCAATGTTTTAAGGGTGCCCACCTCTTTGAATCATAGTATCAAAAACATCATTAACGGTTCCTTTTGTCTCTTCTGTGGTATTTTATTAAATAAATGGCATACAACATCCATTTTCACAACATACAGCCTTAGTGTGTGCTCCTGTTAATGCAGTCTTACCAATTGTTAAGCGAGTCATTGACCCATTTTTAAGTTGTAAATTAATATTCTGACCATCAAATATCACTTTATCATTTATTATATCCAAATAATTTTTAGGTGTTAATTGTTTATTTTGTCGTAAACTAACTCCTTTCATTTTTTGTGCAATCTTTTTAAAATCACTTCCATCAATTGAACCGTTGAATGATGTATAACACTTGGGGCATAAAGCAACCATGTTATCACCTTGTTTCTCAATTGCTAAACCCAATAACTTCTTCTCATGTGCTTTTTCTTCAGCTTTATTCTTTAATTTAGGTTTAAATTTCTCATCAAAACAAAAGAAATCAAAAGGTGCGAATTTGTAAATGTTTTTATCATAAAATTGTTTATCAGTAACAATTGCTTGAAATGCTTGAGTGTTAGGAAGATTTGGGTCGCCAGCGATTGCCCAATAAGATGAATCAGTATCACCTTCAATGAAATGAAAACGATTAACATTCATGCATTTATACATAAAATCATAAATGAAAACCAAATACCAGTATTTTGCGTTATCTAAAGTGAAGAATGCCTCTTGTAAACATGTATCACATCTATAAAATCTATCTTTAAGCATCACTTGATACGTATCTTCACCTATTTCTCTTATGTTTTTAAACTTATTTGACATACATGCAACGCGTGCCTTCTGTGCATTCATTATTTTAGTCTTTGCGTAATTTTGTGTATTCATTGCATCGTAACCATATGATCCATTAAGTGAAATCTTGCAAAATAAACTTTTTCCTTTATTTCCTTCTAATTCAGCCTTTTGTCTTTCGTTCATAAATTCGTTCGCAAATTCATTAAAGCAAGTGTTTTTCGTAAATGTTAAAATTGATTGAATATCATCAATGATAAAATGAAATCTGTCTATTAGATACCAAAGATAATAAGAAGAAAATGGTTGATATTGGTTGTGTGTTGATGCTAACTGAGTTAATTTTTTCTGTTTCTGGTCAACTGGTAGATTGTTTGATTTCATGTAATTATACATAAAACTGCCAATTGTTTTTTCATCTGTGATAATATCTAAGTTTCTTATTATCGGTAAAAAGTTTATGTAATCATTAATGTATTTTTCATCAATGTGACCCTTTACTTCAGCCACGAATAAAGTATTTTTCTTCTTAATTATTCCCAGTGCTTTTGCTTTCTTTGTTGCTGTATCACAAATGATAACACCATTCAATCTTCCCGGCATATACATTTTATGGTCAGTATATTGAATGAAATCATGAGGATTAGATGAAAATGATGAAGGATATAATGAATTAAAGTCAACTCCAACGAAATGAGTCATAATGTTGGTGGTGTCCTCATTTGATACAGTTTTAGTTTCTGGATTATATGAAAGTTTATTAATGTGCGTGATTCCTTTAAGATTAACACGATGTTGAACATTTGATAGACCACCAGTAATTCCATTACGGAGAATGTGATAAGCTTCAACTGAATCTAAAGTCATTGGTAAATTATTTTTTAATGCATAATTTCTTAAATTGATTCTTAAACGTTGAACATCTTCATCTTTATTTGATTTTACGACATTGCAATAACAACACATTAACTGACAATTTTCTTTGGTATGTGGTTTTTCATTATCGATTCTATCCAATGTTGGTTTATTTACATATGTAAACGCTTTACCACACATTTTGCATTTAGATGAAAGGATTAAATCGTGATAGTATTGAAAGTCATCCATTGAAACATTGTTTTTGGTATCTCTTTTCGCCTTTTCATCTTGTTTCTTATATGAATCAATTTTATATTTCCAATACTTTTTTGTTAATTCAAAACTTGATTCCACATTTTCTTCTTCTGGATATGTTTCGTTAGGATTGAAGTTCTTATATGCTAACGCGTAACGAATCATTGATGCATTCGATGATAAAGAAAGATTATGAAGCATGTCAATTTTATAAACAAATGTTTCTTCAATAATTTTATCGATTGGGTCAATCATAATTTCAACGTCTTTATTGCAATAATGAATAAAATATTCTAATCTATTCTCAAAATTTTTAGCATCATTGAGATATATTTGATAATCTGAATCGGATATAGTTTCTTGAGTTAATGCTGAATAAAATGAATCTTGAGTGAATGGTTCCACTTTATATAATTCTTCTTCGTAATTCTCCCATGTGATGAATTGATAAGGGAAAAAGGATTTAACACGTGATTTATTGTTTCCGAAATCTTGAGTGAATTGGTCTAATGTTCCACCCGCTATATAATTTCTGATGTCAATAAATCTTAATTCATATGGACAGTTTGTTTTCTTTACTATGACTTGCTTAAATTGAGAAGAAGAACCCAGCATTGATTTTATTTTCCATTTTGCAGTGTTTAAATCACGAAGAATTAAATTTAAATCAAACTTTCCCGAATTAAAACCTATGATATTCACTTTATTGAATTCCTCATCTAAAAGCTCTTTCATTGCTTCCTTTTGTTTCTCATTTAATGTATTCATTAATTCTTCATATTGTTCAATATTTGATTTAGCAACTAATGAACAGGTTGAAAATAAAAATTCAATCCAATCAGAGATGAACGAATCACTTGATGTTAAGCAAAAATTCCTCGTAAATGTTTTATCACGGTCTACGACCTCGCCGCTTTGCGGCTTTATTTTGACAGTTGATGATACCATAAATGGTTTTAAGTAAGCGTTCAAAGTTGCACATTCAGAAAGTTGAAGTTCTTCTTTAGTCTCTAATGTTTCGAAGTCAAAAGTAATATAATATCTTGTTGGTTTATAATATTCCTGCAAATTATGTGCTAATAGCCATTGATATATCTTCTGTTTCGTGATATGTGGTGCATATGGTTGTTGTGTGTTTTGCAATTGAACGTCTTGAATTAATCTTCCATTATTTTCTTTACATTTCTCACAATGTTTTAAAAATCTTCTTTGGTTTTTCCTTTCTGGATCATCACGGATAGAATATACTTCTTCTTTGCAAAAGGGGCAAACTTTATATCCTGTGAGTGCTTCAACGTCTGTAATTCTGTCAGCGTGAAGTTTTCCACATGGACTCTGTGTTAATAAAATATTTACTGTTTCAAATTCTGGATCTATCATTATTGATTCCACTAATGGAAAGTCTACCTTGTTAATGTCTACGTCTTCTGGTTGAGGGTCACAATAATAAAAATCAATATTAACGTTTAACATTCTTGCTAACCTCTCACTTTCTGATGAAATGTCAAATCCTTCATATACATCTATGGCTTCATTTAAATAACTTCTACGAGTTTTAGGATTAACACCATCAGGAATGTTATAGAAGCGTTTAAATAACCTTCTACCTTCGGCTCTTATTTGATTATCATTCATTTTAGCTGTTCCATTTTTATTCATTTATGTAAGAATAAAAATTAAAAAATAAATAAAAATAAAGTTTATTTTTTTTAAAGTCCGAGACTCAGAGAGTCCAGGGCTAAAGTCCATAAAATGAATTAAGAACACATAAATTTTTATCATCTGCGACGTGACGAATACATTTTAATTTACTCAAGAATGCGTACCCTGATACATTAAATCTAATTCCTGTCTTATTTAATTTCACAACTTTGAAAAGGAATGTATGAATAGCTATAAAATGATGAGAAGATGTTTTATGGGTTGCTTCCATTTTTTCTGAAATAAATGAATAAATATAATGTTTATAAGTTTTCATATCTTTTATGTTCTTAATAACGAATGGTATAGACCTTTCAACTTCGTCTTCCTTCGGTGCTGTTCTTTCATATGAAACATTATTGGTATCTTCAATAATGAAACCACAATCGCATAAAATTTTATATGTACCAATTGTTTCTTTTGATATTTTATCTAACAAATCAAAAACTTTATCAACACCTGTACATTTATTTAAATAATAATTTGTGTAAATATCATGGTCTTCTTTCTTAATCGTATTTGTTGCATATGTTACATTTTTCAGTGCTTTTTTGAATTTTTCAGAATCAAGAGGAGGTGAAAGTAATATACATGGATAATCTCCATCGTCAATAAACTGAAGCTTATGTTTATGAATAAATTTAGTTCCTTCTTCTGAAAGTGTTTCGTCAATATCACCATCTAATAAATTTTTAGTAGATTCCAAAAAGTAATTTTTATATCTTTCCTCATGTGATTTTTGAACTTCTGATTCTGAAGCTGGGATATTCATTAAACCCTCTACTTCATTTTCATTATATTTTTCAACTTCTCTTAATTCCTTAATTTTTTCATCTATTTCATCTCTTATTTTTTCCAGTCTTTCAATTTCATCATATTCATCATCTTTAATCCGTTCTTCATAATATTCAGGGAAAACATCAGGTTCTTTAGGTTTTTCTTTCTTTTTAGATGCGGGATATAAGAAATTTATAACATCATCTTTATTCATTTTTCCATCATAATCAAACTCATTTAAAAACTCCGCGAATTTTTGACAATTTCTTAAATAATATTTATCAACCTCATAACCTGCCTCCTCTAATATATCCTTTATTTCCCTGTTTGTGAATCCTAATTTTTTAACGTCGTTAGTTTTGACACTCATTTTCTTACGAATTAAAAATAAATTATTCAAAAATGTAAGACATGAATTTTTAAAGTTTATTTTTTATTCATGAAAATAATTATTTCTAATTTCTTTTACTCTCTCGTATATACTAGATTTAAAGAATTCAGATTTTTCCCCATAATCTCCTAAATGTTTTCTAATCTTATCGGTTTTCCATTCATAATATGAAACTGAATAAACTTTATCTTTATCTTTACACCTTTCATCACTTCCAATATATTTATATCTCAGTTTTGATTTAGCATTTTCATATTCATTAACGTTTAATAATTCACAGTCTTCCTTTTTAAATAAATGTTTTATGTATTCAGGATTAAGAATTCTATAATATTGCTTCCCTTTAAATCTTTGAATATAAACAGGAACACCATCCTCTAAAATTCGATAATCTATTTTATCCGGTTTTACTTGTTGGGTTATTTATGTAAGAATAAAAAAATAAATTATTTTAAAAATAATGTTAATTTTAAATGATACAAAATCGTTCAATATTGTATGAATTCTTACGTTTACAAAAAAAGTCACAAAACCCGTCATCTTCTACTACTAAAAAAATATAATTTTTTATTCTAAATTTTACATTAACATGTCATTTATTATGATCTCATAAAACATATCCATATATTATAGTTACAGTAATATTAAAATTTCAAATTTTGAATTAATTTGGTTATATTATGACCATTAAGCCAAGATCCCAACTTCTCTATGCTATCTATGAATTTCAACTCTATATGTAACTAACACGTTATAAGTTTTGTTTATAAATATAAGGTGCATTTCAGTAAATTACTCTTTTATAATAGTTCTTTTATTACAGCTATAAAATCTATACTAAATCTATATGTTTTTATACTAAATTTATTAATTGTAATACTAATTTTAATTGTTGCTGATCATATGCTAAATTTTATATGAAATCCTTAATTAGAAACTTGAGTTGAATATATATTATATGAAACAATCGGTGTTTAAAACAAAATACAGCTTGATTTATATAGTAATTTATGCTTTACATGTATTTTATATAAATTTTTATTGAATTCAAATATTCAATAGTTTTTTATGCTAGATTAGTTGTATTTATTTAAATATATTATATTGGCAACCTTTCTTTACCCTGTCCTAATAAACGCATTTTGTAAAAAAATATAGTGCATCAGTTTCGAACTAGCGTCCACGGTACCCAACAGTAAGGGGTAATAACCATTCGACCATTTGCCACGTAAAGCATCGCCAGATTTTTTTGTATTTAATCACTCCCAAAACACTGTTTTGGCTTATTGGAAGCATATCAGACATAATCGCCATAATCAAAAAATCTTATACCCAATAAGTAATAAATTTGTCGATATAGATTTTCCATAAAATTAGTTTTTAGTCTGATCTTAAAATAAATTTAATTTTTTATAAAAAAAATCACATTTAAAAGTACCTTTTTAGTAGCTCGAAATCCTGTTGGTGGATTTCGGGCGTACTTCAAAATTAGCTTTTCTTCTACATATGCAAGCTATATTTTAAATATGGGGCAAATCGGATCGGCGAAAGGAGTTTAGTTACCTTTAAAAATTATTTTAAATCACAAATATCATCCTCATTTCCATTTGTTCTAAAAAGAATAGTATTACGCATTGATAGAACACGGTCTATATTAGGAAAATACTTGAATGAAAAGAGTAAGAGTAAAGTTTTTATTAGTTTTTATGTTTGTCTTAAAAACTGCTTCTAGAATTTTACATATTATACCTGAAATAGTGATCCATTTTTATTACATTATTTTAATTCAAATCGTCAAATGTAAGCATTCAAATCTCTTATTTAACTAAGAAACTGTATATTACATAATGAACCATAATCATATAAGCTGGAAATGTTATGGTTATATTCCAAAGCTCGAAGAAGTAGTTTCTTTGAACAAACCATCATTCATAAAAGTATGTTTAAAATAATATAATATCAATGTTTTATTCATGATATAGTATCTAATTATATTTGTTTTGGTTATTTCTTATTTGAAGTACTTTTCGAGAAGTTGTTTGTATTGTTCGACTTCTTGTTCAACATGTGGGTTCTTGTGAACATCGAAGAAGTACATTCCTTCGAGGACATCGAAACCGATGAACTTGAAAGCCTTCTCGACTGTAAGCCAGTGATTCTTCTTTCCGAGATCTGCATAGAACTGTCCTTCTTCTGTGAATGCGATTTCTGGTGCATTCCATGTTGATGAGATCATAACATGCTTTCCTATCATTAATCCACCAGTTCCATACTTCTTTGATGGATCTTTGCGGGTGCGGCCATCGTTTTTGACTAGTGTTCCTTTTCCAGAGGAAAAGACTGTATCGATGTATTTCTTGACTTGCCATGGAAGACCCATCCACCATCCTGGGACTTGAAGAATAACAATGTTGCACTTGAGGAATTTATCGATCTCTTCTTGAATGTCGTATCCGTTCTCAACGACTGTAGTGATAACATTCCATCCGAATGATTCGAGCTGTTTCTTAGCAACATCTGTCAAGTAGTGGTTTAAGTTTCCTTTCGACATGTTGAACTCGCATCCGCCATCGATGATGAGTGCTGTACCTTTAGATGTCTGTGCTGACATTGATAAAAATGATATGGAGTACTAGCCAACTTATTATTCTCAGAATATTCGAACTTGAACAATTGTAAACATTTCAATTTTTTATTAGAAAAAATCATCTCAATTTTCTGATGTTTACAATTGTCCAACCGAAAATTTCTCATAAGAGTACATTCAAAATAAATTAAAATACATGCAAGTGTTTTGTGCTTGCATCATTTATTCAATTATCTGAATATTTGATATTTTCCCAAAAATCCCGAAAATTTGATATAAATATTCTATGTAATATATTCTATTCATAACAAATAGATAGTTAAATCCAATGAAATTTCATTATGATCTATAATATTGTTGCATGCTAAGATCAGTCATAATGTAAACCTCTCAATTTTATTGTCGTGGGAAGTATCTCAATTCCTTCAAAAAAAATTGAAAAACTCTTTAATTTTAAAAATATAATACTTTTAATTAGTTAATTAATTGGAGATATTTTTAAAAAATCACTTTTGATAATACTTTTGAGAACTTTAATTAAAAAATATATAGTTATGATGTATACCTCATAAGGAACAATTCCCTCCTTAAAATGAGAAAACTTGTTCGAAATTGTTTATCATTTCGAACAAGTTTTCTCGTTTTTAATAGGAAACTAAAGGCTATGAGGCACTGATTATATATTAGTGCCTCATAGCCTTTAGTTCCTAATAGATAGCTGGGGAACTTTCTCCAAATGATAAGTTATTCAGAGAAAGTTTCCCAGCTATCAAGAGGGAATTGTTCCTTATGAGGTATATAGTTATAATGTATACCTCATAAGGAACAATTCCCTCCTTAAAATCGTAGACATTTTTATACTTATTAATCAACCATTCAAAATCATATTCCTCTGAAAAGTTATTTTATTAAAAATTTAGAATTTTAATAAATATAGAGTTTGAATTTCATACAATACCTATATATTTTCAATAATGGAATTTGAAAACCATTCTCAAAAGTTCTCAGAAAACCTTTTTTTCATTAATTTTAAGAAATCTGAGTATTAAATTAAGTGATAAATTCGTTTGACACTACTTTAATTTTTAAATTCAAAAAATTATATGTGCTTCTTAAAATGACTCAAAAAATTTTTATTATAAAATAATATATAATATTAAAAATCCCACAACATTTTTTTACTTTACATAATCGTACTTCCTCGACGATTAATTTTCACTCAATTTCTATCGTTGACCGAAATTAGCATGCAACAATATCAATAATTTTAATAAATATAAATTCAATTTATGATGTGAACGAGATATCACGCGATTTACCAATTTTTGATTACCATAATTAAATTACCCAGATTTGCCTTACTTTTACCACCTCTCTAAAGCTGGGGACACCGCCTATCGTTGGGAGTAGCTATTAAATAGAACCACCAAGGGTATTTTTCGAACTGCCGGTGTAGTGGAAACATCCGACATAATGATTCATTATGCCAAGGTTTGATTCTCATTTACCCAATTTTTTCTTTTTTGGATCATGAATTTTTTTTTGGGTCACTATAAGATTTGTTTCATGTTCTAAATCTGCTGCATATGTAATCTATTTTTATTTACCTATTTTTTAAAAATCTATTGGATTGCCAAAATTGAATATATTTAAAATCATAAAACTCCAAAAAAACTATAAATATATGTTTTATGCATAGTGCCGATACTCAAATATCAGATTACTTAGATCCATGAATAATATCCGAATTTTTTTTCTTAAAATTAAACTTCAAAACTTCTTCCAATCTTATTCTTAATCAATTGTAAATTTTTAAAACCATTTTTTAAAATAATTTTGCGTAAATTTTATTCTCATGTTGTTTTAATCGAAAATTGATACATTTTCAAAAAATAATATTGACTTATGAAATTCATTTTTAAGGTGAAATAGTATTGTTTTTATTAAAGTATATGAATAATATATAAAAAATTAATGAATAATATAAGCAGATTTTTAGTTTACAAAACAAATATGAGCAATGCAATTTCAAACTTTTGCTGGCAATTTCGATATTGCTCAAGTTTGTAGTATTTGTGATACCTATAACATCGGCTTAATCAAAATTCGATTTTTCTTATGAGTTATTGAGAAAATTTGATTGCAATGAGAAGGATTTCGACGTTTTTGATAAACTAAGAGCTGAGCTTTAGGGGTTCAGTTCATTTATGGCTGTAGTTTGATGCGTAGATCTCTTTTTTATTGTAAATTCTTTCAGCATGGAGATCGAGAATGAATCTTTTGAGAACTTTATGAGTTTTTACACCCGTAAAGAGGTCCTTCGAGGAAAGATAGTCCAGACTACATGAAGATGTGGGTTAACCAAAAAAATCCGATGGTTTCCCCATATTCATGTAGATCTTCGAAAAAATGAGCACCAAAAAAGCCAAAAAAATAGGCTTTTTATTGGATTTGTACACTAGATCAATAATCTATTTAGGATCTGACACTCTTTTTAGCCAGAGATATGAGGTCCTTTCAAGGAAAACGATCTATTCATCCATAAAAAAAATGAATTATCGTTTTCCCCAGAAATTACATGGGAGTGGTAAAAGTAAGGAAAATCTGGGTATGATTAGTAATAATTGGATATTATTGGAAAAAATTAATCAAGCATATGAAAAATCATGGGACATATAGTATTTGATGAATCAATCGCATGACAAATGCGACAAAATAGTTTAGAAAATAGCAGACTTGTTTCAAAGTCAACTCTTATGAGAAATTTTCGGCTGGACAATTGTAAACATCAGAAAATTGAGATGATTTTTTCTAATAAAAAATTGAAATGTTTACAATTGTTCAAGTTCGAATATTCTGAGAATAATAAGTTGGCTAGTACTCCATATCATTTTTATCAATGTCAGCACAGACATCTAAAGGTACAGCACTCATCATCGATGGCGGATGCGAGTTCAACATGTCGAAAGGAAACTTAAACCACTACTTGACAGATGTTGCTAAGAAACAGCTCGAATCATTCGGATGGAATGTTATCACTACAGTCGTTGAGAACGGATACGACATTCAAGAAGAGATCGATAAATTCCTCAAGTGCAACATTGTTATTCTTCAAGTCCCAGGATGGTGGATGGGTCTTCCATGGCAAGTCAAGAAATACATCGATACAGTCTTTTCCTCTGGAAAAGGAACACTAGTCAAAAACGATGGCCGCACCCGCAAAGATCCATCAAAGAAGTATGGAACTGGTGGATTAATGATAGGAAAGCATGTTATGATCTCATCAACATGGAATGCACCAGAAATCGCATTCACAGAAGAAGGACAGTTCTATGCAGATCTCGGAAAGAAGAATCACTGGCTTACAGTCGAGAAGGCTTTCAAGTTCATCGGTTTCGATGTCCTCGAAGGAATGTACTTCTTCGATGTTCACAAGAACCCACATGTTGAACAAGAAGTCGAACAATACAAACAACTTCTCGAAAAGTACTTCAAATAAGAAATAACCAAAACAAATATAATTAGATACTATATCATGAATAAAACATGTATTGAATAAAAAACTTGATAATGCAACTAAGAGCTTTAAATTTACCTTGTTTGGCTGTTTATTCCCATATTTAATGTATTTCTATCATAATTTTTATAATAGTGCCAATATATTAATATAATATCAAAGTTTTTATAATAGTGTCAATATGATAGAATTAATACAATAATTTATTCAAAGACAAATATAATTGTAGGGCTAGTGAAAAATTGGCGTCACAATGACGTGGCATGTAAACTATTCAATTTTGAGTGTAAACTACTCAATTTTGAGTACCCCTGGCGTCATATTGGCAAAAATTGAGAAGGGCCGCGTCACATTTAAGTGTCAAAAAAATTTTTTTCTTGTACGTCAGAGAAAAATACTGGCTAGTGCCCCTTCTGGTCTTTCATGTGCCGGAAGGAGTGGCTTTTGCCAGTATTGCCGCTCCTTCCGGCATCATCTTTGCATTTCGCAAATGTCGCGGCAAGTACACCTGTGGTACCAGAATGCACTTGCCGCGACCTACAATTGCGAGTGTCTGCTGCTCCGCCCCAGATTCGCAGCAGACACTCGCAATGCGAAACAAAGTTCGCCAGAAAGACCGGGAAGGGGGTCCTTTCTCGAGGTCAGGGCCCCCTTCTAGTCTTTCATAAGAAGCGTTGTCTCTTGTCTAGCGCCTCTCAGGCTCCGATTCTCTCTCATAAAAAATTTGACAAGTAAATTACTTTGTAAATTATGACGCGGCGGTATTGAATTTTTTGGCATGTGACGCCATAAAGTATTCAATGTTGAGTACTTTACGTCTTCACGCCAATAACACTCGAACCCTTTATAAACCTATAATTGTATTGAATAAAAAACTTGATATGATATTAAACAATTGCAAAGCATTCAAAAATTGTTTTAGTGTGTATAGTTTTAATTGTTACTGAATAAAAAGTCCAAGAACAAAAGATATAAAAAAATTATTCACTTTACAACATTTAATATTGAAATATCTACATGATATAAATACATATGACTGAATAAAAATAGAATTACAAATAGATTTACTAAAAAAAGAAAAACAAAATTAATCTGGTATATAATCTGGGTTACCTTCGACATCAACACCTCCTGGAGAAGCTGTAGCAACAGCCTTTTCAGCATCAACTCTCTTCTCCATGTCTCTGTTATCAACTTCCATATCTGGAAGCTCAATTTCGTATTTGGCCTTATCTGAGGAAGCAGACTCCTCCTTCTTCTTGTTGGCGACCTTGTTGAAGTAGATGCACATTCCAAGTAATACGAATTCCCAGAATCCATCGGCAACTGAAGCTGCATAAGTTGTCCAACTCTCGTGGTTACCAAAGCACATGAAAATGGCGTTTCCAAGGTTAACTGGAGCTTGAATTTCAAGCATGAGAAGAGATAAAGAGCCACTGCTTCTCATTTTGTAGGTTTTGATGATCTGTGGTAAGAATTGAAGGACTTCAATAATAAAACCGACAATACCTGAAATATGACCTAAGTAGTCGATAGCTGGAGACATAAAGCTGAACTTCATACCTAAGACTCCCCAAACGAATATGCAAGAAATATAAAGAACGGCAGCAATAAGTGAGACGGATCTAAACTGTTTCCAGCCTTTCTTGATGTCGCTTTCGTCAACTCCGGGTCTTATTTCTTTATCGTAGAAAATCATGATCAAATAAGGTACTTGAGACATTAAAAACCACTGTGCAAAGCAGTTTGCGAATGTTAAAAAGCGTGCATAGGTGTAAAAGTTCAAATGATGAAAAACTCCAACAAAATCTTCCCATTTGAGACATAAAACATTGAAAACGACGCACCAAAGGCAAATAGTTGAAGAAAATGTTGTAACAGGAGCTAAACCGTATGATGTTCTCATCTTCATCAGTTTAATTGGTTGCGGAATGTAAGATGCAATTGTAATTATCAAAAGAACTGTACCGACAATTGTCCAAACAATGACGGGCTTTGGATAGAAGTAAGCGAAATCGTTGAACCCATGAAAATCCACATATGATGGGATTTCTTCGCCCATTTTGGATCAAGTGTGGTCAGAAGTAAACTATTCAATTTTATTTTCAATTCAATCGTTAAACCATATGAATCATTTCAGAGTAATCACAAAATTTGAAAACCCACCATGTTAGAAATTTTCATATTTGTTCACCTCAATCTGAAAAAAAAATAAAAGTTCGGAACTTTTTCAATGTAAATTTTATCGGATAAAATTAACCAAAATTATCAGCAAACCCACGCAAGTAAAATGATTTAATCCAAAATGTAACGTACTCATTTGAGAGCGCGATAATAGAGTTTGATTACTTCTGAGGTCGTGTCAATTTTTATCGTTCCGGAACTCATATCGTTTTTTCGATCGAATGTAAACGTGCTATTCTATGTCGCACACAGAAGATTATTCAAAAATTAGAAAAGACAACCCATCATTTTTTACAAAGAAAGCACCAATGTCCGATTAGGCACAAACATTTAAAGGAACTTTCTGAAGAACTAGATTCACATCAAAATTAAGCATTTCTCTAAAATTGTCAAATCATCGTTCTTATTTATCTTCACAATCTCGATTTCATTCCTTCATTTAAAAATTTTGCGCAATGGTAACCATTACACTTGAATTATAGACAGAGATTATTATATATAATTTTAAAAAAATTGCCCATATGCAAATCTAATACTGTTAGAACGAATATTGAGTCTAGTTGGTCGTTATAAGAAAATACTCTCACTTTTCAGATCTTAAGGATGCAAAAAATAGAAAAATTGCGAAGATGATTTGAAAGTATGATATCTCTTAAAATATTTAATAAATTTATGTGGACAAAGTATATTAGTTATGAACAGCATTTTTTGTTGAAATGACAATCCTTCAAAATTCAAGAAGAAGTTTTGATAAAACAAAAACTCAATTTTTATTTTAATCTCAAGCTAACTTGAATGGTTTCAATTTTAAAATTTTGGAAAAATATTCTGATCAGAAAGAATCGAACTGGCCTCTGATCCGTGTCAAGGATCTATTCTAACCAATATACTACTGGGACTTTACAATTTAGATCTAAATTTTTAATTAATAATTAATCCATTATTATCACTCTTGTACAAAAAATTTGACACCTGCAAAAATGTTATCTTTTTTCACTTCAGCTTCATTCTCCCAGGTTGTTTATGAATCATCATTTTTGTCTGAAGCTCCTAAAGATTTTAAAATCAAGAAATTTGAAAGTAATTTTTCCCAAATTTATCAAAATCATTCTTATACTTGCTACGTTGGTCGTTCCGTTAATTCATCAATATATCCACAAACACTCTCGGAACTACAGCAAAATCTCATTGGTCAGTGTTTCGAATTTACGCATACAGGGTATTGGTATTTCAAGTTCTGCCCATTCAAAATCCTAAATCAATTTAGATACGAACCACTCAATCAGATACCAACTGATAATTTTATTTTAGGTCAAGAAGATGATTCAAAACCTAAATCGATTTATAACGGAATTTCATACGATTGGAATAACGGAGATAAATGTGTTGTTACTAATCGCCCAAGACATACTAAAATTGAATATATTTGCGACAGATCTACTTCTGAAATCGGATATATTGCAGCAATATCCGAACCTGATTATTGCGAATACCTCGTGCAATTCCACACACCTTATGTTTGCTGTTTGAATGACGATAAGCGCGAATTTTTGTCAGAAATAGTTTGTATTCGTGATTAATACCTGTTATTTATTTCATAATATAGAATAAAGAATGTTGTTTAATAACTGTACTAAAAAATCTGATTTTTTTTAATAAAATATATTGTAGAATATGATACTGATGTTAATATGAAAATTATTCTCTTTATTTTCAAATCTATCATTCCTTTATGGAATGATCATTCTTTTCATTTGAAGGAATTTTCTAAAAAATGTCTAAATATAGTCTTGGCTAAATCTTTAAATTTGAGTCATTTTTTGCAGTTTGATCGGATAAAACTTGGGATTTCGACATGAAACCGACATCAAAAATTCGAGAAAAATTATTAAATGAGGTCTATTGCCCCAGATCAGGAATTTAGTTTTAATGAAAAATCACATAAGAAAGATTTGGAACAAAATTTGAGTTTCACCACGAAAAAGTTTTACACATGAAAATTTAGCTTAGGCAAATAGTATTGAAAACAGAGATATCTGTTAAATTCTCAAAACATAAGAGTTTAAATCTTATTTGAAGTACTTTTCGAGAAGTTGTTTGTATTGTTCGACTTCTTGTTCAACATGTGGGTTCTTGTGAACATCGAAGAAGTACATTCCTTCGAGGACATCGAAACCGATGAACTTGAAAGCCTTCTCGACTGTAAGCCAGTGATTCTTCTTTCCGAGATCTGCATAGAACTGTCCTTCTTCTGTGAATGCGATTTCTGGTGCATTCCATGTTGACGAGATCATAACATGCTTTCCTATCATTAATCCACCAGTTCCATACTTCTTTGATGGATCTTTACGAGTGCGGCCGTCATTCCTGAACAATGTACCATGACCTGTCTGGAAGACTGTATCGATGTATTTCTTGACTTGCCATGGAAGACCCATGCCCCATCCTGGAACTTGAAGAATAGTGATGCGAAAAATTCCCAAACATATGGGGTTTCTCATATCCCGTCCCCTATCGTTTCCCCAATTCAATTTTTTTGGAATTTTATTTTTTTTCCCGCCCATTTGAATTAAAAATGGGCGATTTTCGTTAATGTGATTGAAATATCATAAAATTAATACGTATTTTAGCTAATAATTCTATTTTTATACAATATTCTCTCATTAAATCAACATTTTTTTTTAATTTTAATTTTTAATTTTTAATTTCTTCATAATTTTAGCGATTTATGCTCATTATTAGCAAATAAATAATATATATAATATACTTATTTCATTTTATTCAGATAGGTCTTTGGGATTGGGATACCTTGTCCAAATTCAGAGGAAGTTTGAGAGGTTGGGATGGGGTAGCCCATATTCAATTATCCCAAGTGTACTCCACGAATTTAAAATTATATTATATTATTGATGACATATCTAAATTTATAGATAAAAATTTCAATGCGTACACAATTTTTTTTGAGAAAATTCTTTTTTTTACTTATTTTCATTCATAAAAGCTCACGTGAACTTAATTAACAACTGAGACATTTCCTATGAAATCATTTAATGCCGTCAAAATAGACATGTCTAAGCTGTTTTGAGTGACTTTCGCTCGATGTCTGATGCAATATCAGACATCGAGCGAAAGTCTCTCATATTGGCAACACATCCATACGATCAATACTATAGCTACGAATTACAAGCCTGTTTGGGCAATTTTTGGCCGAGTTCTGATTTTTCATTAGATCTCGAGCGAAAGTCTCTCAAATTGGCTGCCAGTTCATAAGAGTGAAACTCTAGCTACGAATTAGAAGCTTGCTTGAGAGACTCTCGCTCGCGTTGGGATCTGCATCAGAACTCGAGCGAAAGCCTCTCAAAGTGGTAAGACCTGCTCATTGTTGAGCAGGAGCTGCGTAATGTGTTCGAGTAGAGTGAGGCTCTTCTAAGATCTTCCTTGTGATTGGAAGAAATTAGAAGAGTCTCACTCTACTATTTTGTAATTGTATGCCCTGGCCTTTGAGTGACCAGGGCTGCGTAATGTGTTCGAGTAGAGTGAGGCTCTTCTAAGATCTTCCTTGTGATTGGAAGAAATTAGAAGAGTCTCACTCTACTATTTTGTAATTGTATGCCCTGGCCTTTGAGTGACCAGGGCTGCGTAATGTGTTCGAGTAGAGTGAGGCTCTTCTAAGATCTTCCTTGTGATTGGAAGAAATTAGAAGAGTCTCACTCTACTATTTTGTAATTGTATGCCCTGGCCTTTGAGTGACCAGGGCTGCGTAATGAATTCGAGTAGGATTGTACAATAGCTCGGCAAACGCCGAGCAAATTGATATAAACGTACATCCCACAAAAAATGGATTGTCAAAATTTATCCCAAATTTTACAAAACCGCAGCGGTTATGACATCCCAGGGCTAAAAAAATTCGGAAACTCGCATCTCTATTGAAGAATAACAATGTTGCACTTGAGGAATTTATCGATCTCTTCTTGAATGTCGTATCCGTTCTCAACGACTGTAGTGATAACATTCCATCCGAATGATTCGAGCTGTTTCTTAGCAACATCTGTCAAGTAGTGGTTTAAGTTTCCTTTCGACATGTTGAACTCGCATCCGCCATCGATGATGAGTGCTGTACCTTTAGATGTCTGTGCTGACATTGATAAAAATGATATGGAGTACTAGCCAACTTATTATTCTCAGAATATTCGAACTTGAACAATTGTAAACATTTCAATTTTTTTATTAGAAAAAATCATCTCAATTTTCTGATGTTTACAATTGTCCAACCAAAATTTCTCCTAAGAGTACATTCAAAACTAAATTTTTGTTATGTTATTAAACTTAAAATATTATTAATATCAAAAACTATATTTACGGAACATCAAATTCTATTGAAATTTTGATTCATTATTTTCAATTACCCTAGAATTTGCATGATATTTTGATATTATGATATATTTTATAAGCAAACCCTAAGATATTATATATCACTATCCAAGTATCGTAATATAATAAGTATAAACTTGATTATGATCTATTCAAAAAAAAATTCAAATTTTCATTGCAGATAAAATGAATGTAATAGATAATTAGAGGGTGGTATTAATTTATACATATGTTTTTAATGAAATGTGTTAAGATATTCAAAATAAATTATATGAAATTTTGTGAATTTTTGGGAAAATATTAAGGGTGCCCTATAACGATAATGTAAACATCACAAAATTAACCTTATTAGAACTCGAATGAATGGATTATCCAGATTCTAGTTCTCAATATAATAGCCTTAAAAGTGCTTTTCTGAGGGTGGTCTATCGTCTATAGGGCACCCTTAAATTTCACAAATGTAAATAGAAATAAGTTGTATATGCATCAAAGAGCATTTAATAAATAGTATATTGGACTTGCAAGATCAAATTTTGTTTTGAATGTACTCTTAGGAGAAATTTTGGTTGGACAATTGTAAACATCAGAAAATTGAGATGATTTTTTCTAATAAAAAATTGAAATGTTTACAATTGTTCAAGTTCGAATATTCTGAGAATAATAAGTTGGCTAGTACTCCATATCATTTTTATCAATGTCAGCACAGACATCTAAAGGTACAGCACTCATCATCGATGGCGGATGCGAGTTCAACATGTCGAAAGGAAACTTAAACCACTACTTGACAGATGTTGCTAAGAAACAGCTCGAATCATTCGGATGGAATGTTATCACTACAGTCGTTGAGAACGGATACGACATTCAAGAAGAGATCGATAAATTCCTCAAGTGCAACATTGTTATTCTTCAAGTCCCAGGATGGTGGATGGGTCTTCCATGGCAAGTCAAGAAATACATCGATACAGTCTTTTCCTCTGGAAAAGGAACACTAGTCAAAAACGATGGCCGCACCCGCAAAGATCCATCAAAGAAGTATGGAACTGGTGGATTAATGATAGGAAAGCATGTTATGATCTCGTCAACATGGAATGCACCAGAAATCGCATTCACAGAAGAAGGACAGTTCTATGCAGATCTCGGAAAGAAGAATCACTGGCTTACAGTCGAGAAGGCTTTCAAGTTCATCGGTTTCGATGTCCTCGAAGGAATGTACTTCTTTGATGTTCACAAGAACCCACATGTTGAACAAGAAGTCGAACAATACAAACAACTTCTCGAAAAGTACTTCAAATAAGAAATAACATATTGTATTGAATAAACGTGATATGATGTTAAAACATTGACACAATTTCATATAAGGTAAAAATACATGATTTTAGATGAATGCTTATGAATTCATAATTAGTTCATTATTGAACGTTGCTGAAATAAGATTGCATGAAATTATGATACCTTTAATATACCAGATTCATTTGCCATTAGATATTGATTAAATTATTCTAATTGATTAAATATATCATAATTAATGAAAATTAAACACGAATTATTAAATTCCAATAATATTACAGACCATATATTTGTCCGAGATCTAATTTTTTTTCCTCAATTCATCATCAAAAAAATAATTAAAAACTATTTATAAATCATAAGAATCTAATGATGTGAAATCAATTTTTGCATAAGATTAGTAAAAATCATGATTCAATTTTAAAAATATAAGTTATACAAAAAAATTTATTAAAACAATTTGTTGAGTTCAGCCTGAAGTTCATTATATTCTGAATCAAGAAGGTCCAAATAATCTCTTCCCTTCGAAGACTTCTCTTCTTCGTTCAGCATCAAAGTTGAATTCTTATAAAAGCTCTCCAAAGTGCCCAAAGACTTCTCAAGGAGTTCCTTACGACGAACAAGTTCCTGGTAGTAACTTTCTTCGGCGTTTGCGTCCGAAATTTCCTCAACAGTTGGAGGAGCTTGTAATTCGTGTAATTCTGCTAATGCAATCGCTCGTGCTCTTATGCAGTTGCTATCCTTGTCGTTGAATAACTTCATAAATCTGTTCTCTAGGTCGGAAATGATCTTCTGGTTTCCGATTATGTGAGTTTTTTCTTGATTCGTTTGGTTTTTGAGCATTTTTATGTTGCTGATTAAGCTCTTTCGTTCTGCTTCCCATGATTTGATCGAAGCAATGTTTTGAATATCATTTTGGGACTTTTGTTTATTTAATTCCGCCAATTGTCGTTTTTGATTGACAACAGTAATGAGATTCTTCTCTTTTGCAAGATAAGCTTCGTATTCTTTACGTTGTTTGTTTAATTCCGCTGTTAATTCTTCAGTTTTTTGTTTTAACGTTTCTTGATCGTTTGTTTCTGCATTTACTTGGCTTAATACCAGTTCAGAATTTTCTGCTGTCTGTATTAATGCGTTTTGTGCTGAAATTTTCTTGGATTTTAAGTCTAATAAAATATCATTTGAAGATTTTTCTTTTGTAACTTCTTTATCGTATATTTCTAGCGTTCTTTGTAGTTTTTCTTTTAATTCCTTTTCAATTTGATGGAGTTTTCCCTTCTTATCTTTGAGTTCCGCGCGAAGAACATTCGATGCCTCGAGTTCAGCTTCCTTTAGAGCTAAATATGATTCCAATTTGGAATATCCTTGGAAGAATGATACATCTTGTGGTATAAAATCTTGGCTAGCGAAACCTTGTGGATCGTTTTCATTAAATGAAGGAGATTCTGCTGAATATGCATCCAATTCGACTTCACATTCGGCAATCTCAAATTTAAGATCATTATTTTCTTTCTCTAATGCGATTTTACGGTTTTCTAGAGCTGTAATCTGTAAATGAGCGGATTCTATATCTGAATTCAAATTATCTTCAAGTAATTTCTGATCTCGAGGCGTCATCTGAAGCTTTTGATCAATGATGCTGCTTACATCTGAAAAACTACTATTTGCAATGCTCATTTCCAAGATTGTCACTTTTTTGAGACCTTATCTTTTATTTTTTACATTGAATTTGCTATAAGATATCAAAATAGAATTCATATTTTTTTCTATCAAGGGAAAAAGTGACATCGAAAATTTGAAAAAATGAGGAGAAGGAAATTCGTTCCACGAGAGGATATCAACCCATTAGTACACCCAGTACCGAATTCTCCTTTGAAGCCACTCATTCAGACTCCTCAAACACAACAAATTCCTTCTCTTAGTGCTCCTGATGAAAAAGACTTGCTAAAGAACACAGTTCCTAAAGATAATTCGCAAACATTAGATAACAAACCAAATATTGCTGAAAATAATGATAAACAAAATGAAATTATTAGTCAAAATAGCGAAATAAGTAATAATAATGGATCATCAAACCAATTAGCTATTAATGAAACACTTCAAAACGTTTCCAAGCCAAAACCGAAGTTTACTTTTCAAAATGTACCAACTTCACAAAATGATGTCAATATTTTTGAGAACCATCAAGTAGAAACAGGTGATACCGATCATCCACAAGCCGTTTCAGAAAATACTTCTAAACCAAAGCCTAAATTTACATTATTAAATGTTCCTGCTTCAAATAATAGAGAAGAAAATACAAACAGCTCAAATAATGATGCTAATATAACTCAAATAAGTAATGAGAATAATAGTTCTGTTCCAACCAATGAAGAAAAAACAAATCGAAAATTTTCTTTCTTTAATTTACCAAATACTGATATCAATAGCGAAAATAATCAGCCAAATGACATTAAAAATGAAAATGAACCACAAACTAATACAAATAAACCAAAACCAAAATTTACATTTTTAAATCTTCCAAACAAGCCAATAGAACAAGAACAAACAGAACAAAGTAATATAGAACAACCAGAAGTTACAAAAGACCACTTAGAACCTATTACAGAAGAAAAGAAGAAAGAAATTGCAGAAATTTTAAATCACGACAAACCATTAGGATTTGGAATATTCAGAACATTTCAATATCTCCAAAATACATCACAACTTATCATCCATAAAGGTGAAAATGAGAGAATTCTTGAATATCGAGATGAATTTGGAAATCTTGTGGACGAAAAGGGCGCATTCAGGACACAATCACACGTTTTCCATGGAAGAAGGCCAGGCGCAAAGAAGATGAAGAAACTCAAAGAGAAATCTCTTGCAAAGAAGAGAATTGAAGATTCAATGGTCGGAGACACTCCTCTTCAATCAGGAAAGGCACTTAGAGAAGCTCTTGCTAATTCTGATAAGCCATTCATTGAACTTACAGGAACAAATCGACAAATTATTCCTTATATTCCTGCTGAAGTCCAGGTTGATCCAAAGATGGAGAAGAGGAAGAAGAGGCTTAAGAAGGTTAAGAAGATGAAAGTTAAAGAAGTTGGAGGTAAAACGGTGCATAATTTCAAGTCAATTATTAATCCTCAATAATTCATTATTTTGTTTTAATAAATGTTATGTATATATAGTTATTATTGCCTCTACAAATAGTAAATTTAAGGAAAGAAAAGTATATCATTTGAAATAGAAGATGATTTGTTTGGAGTCAGTAAGCCATTATAGGTACCACATGTATGTATGCGATGATAAAAATAGTAATTAGTGCTCAAATGAAGTTAATTCATCAAAAAAGAATCTCAGATTGGTTAAATTTCTAAAATTATGTTTGCTTTCAAGCAAATAGATTGCTTGAACCATTTTAATCATTTTCTTTTCTCAAGGTATTATCTCTCGCAATTTCGAAAATCAGAATGACGTGTGGCATTACATAAATATGTAATGCCGGCTGTTTATTATATTATACACGTGTGTTTCAAGGTGAAAATCTGATTTCCTAACTCTAAAATCTAATGTCACTTTTTTATACTGGATCAAAATTTTGTCAATTTTTTCATGACTGAGTGGATTCCTCTTTCTGGGGATATCCTATCAGGTAAAACACAAACATTATACAAAATACTACGTGAGCTTTTGAAAACTGGAAAAGTCCAAGTTTGCGGCTTTTTCCAACCTTCTAGAGAAACAAATAAAATTCGCGATGGTTATGACTTAGCATTCATTGGCCAAAATGCAATTACATATAAAAAATTTGCTGTGAAGAACCTTAATGCCCCTCCAAAAACAATGCCTTGGTTCTTTAATAACGCGTTATTTGATGAAGCGCTTGAAGAATCTAAATCCTTTAAATTTGATGGTAGACCAGTTGTTCTTTTACTAGATGAACTGGGACAACTTGAAGTTCATCAGAAAGGCCATTTTAATGCGATTTCTTCTTGGGTTGAAAGACTTAAAGGAAGAAAAGCATTCATTATAGGTACCACATCAGCATATAGAGTTGAATTAGCCAAAGAAATGATGGAAAATTTAGGTGTAAAAACTTCAGAACTAAATTACAAAGTTCCTCTTGATGATAACCAAGTTTCAGAGTTTGTCAAGACACTAATAGAGCATCTTACATAAGATTTAATAGAGATATATTATTTTTCTGTAAATTATAGATGATTTTATTTCAATTTCATTTGTAAGATTATTTTTTTAGTAAAACATTTTTCCTTTAAACATGTTTTATAAAGATATGAAAGTTAAGATATGAAAACAAAATTGAATTAAGTTTTAATATAAAATTAACAAGTTTTTTACAAAACGGCGAACAAATATTACTGAAGAGCTTCAGTTTGGCACCATTGCCATACTGATGGTTTCATCTTTACAGATTTATCCATGCAAACTTGGACATCTTGTCCAGTTATGAGGTTGTAGTCTCTGAGATCTTTCTGTCTGCCTTCTAAATTATAACGGCAGCCGATTCTTTCTGTTTCACGCGCTGCTATTTTTTCTCTTTGTTCAACAATTTCTTTTTCGCGAGCAATAGACTTCTTATTTCTTTCGCACGAGGAGCTAAAGTCCTTAACAAACTCGTTTGCAACCTTTTCATCGGTTGTTTCGCCAGTAACAATGTTAACTGTATTCTCCATGGCTCTTCTCTCGTTTGGCGGCACTCTGCTCAGCTTGAACTCATGAGTTCTGGTTCTTGCATCCAATTCGCTCTTTGCACGTGTGGCCTCGAGATTTGCAGTAGGGAATGTATTTGAAATAGGATCAATTGAACGAGTAGCCATGATTTTTTCTGAACGTTCGCGCTGTTTAAGGATTTGAGTAATTGAATTCTTGAATGCATTGGTTTTTGCAACGCCTGTAACAGAATCAAATTCGGTGTTTTCATATGAAGGTGTAATTTCGCGCATTTGTCTTGGCTTAGCCTCATCTTTGAATCCTTTCTTGCCATTCCATGACAAAAGATCTAAGCCATGATCATTAGAAGGCTTGACTTTTCGCTTAACTTCCTCTGGTGGATCGAAAAGATTATCTGTTGCATAAAAATGAGAATCGCAATTGATTTTTGTCTTTGTGTATTCCTCATTCGGCTCTGGTTCTTGTCCAAAGATACCACCATCTTGGTATTGTTTAATTTTTTCGCGAACATAAAATGATTTATCAGGTGGAGCGTTCCTCCTGGCTTCTTCTTGCTTTAAAAGTTCTGCCCATGACTTTGGTTCTGGCTCCCCAGGTCTTTTTATCATCCTAACGAAAAAATTATATCGTTTCTCCTGCTTGGTAACGTATTTTTAAAAGTCACTTTTTTTATTTATAGAGAAACAAAAACTTATTGTACAATAAGAACTAGTATGGGAAGAAATAACTGGTTATTTACCTCTTATACTGAAATTGCAAAATGAGAATTGAAATTGAATCTCATTAATGATCTTCAAGCTTTCTAGTTTACATATAAAATATATTATGAAGAATATTTATTTTCTACATCTGAAATGTTCTATAATGATGAATTTGAGAATAAGAATTTTTATTCATGATGAAAAGAATCTATATAATTGTAGCTCAATTCAAAAACTTTGTGGTCAGAATTAGGTAATTAGAAATTTGCATCACCGCAATGATATGTGTTAAATTCGCGAATTTTTAATTTGAATGTGAGAAGAAATCTGCATTTTCATTAAGAAGAAGATGAAACACAAGCATATGTTTAAAATAAATCAATAAATATATAGAATATAATTAAGCTTTAGTAACATACTGTGGAACTGATTGTTCATTTTCAGGAATTGTTGTCCAATGTGGTGATTTCTCAGATTTAAGCCACTTAAAGTCCTTAACATCGTTCCATGGACCTGGCTGAGATCCATAAGGAGCAAAACGAACTCTATCACAATCTTCAATAATTGGTCCAGACATCATTTCAACATAGAAATCAGTATCATATGTTTCGTGTATACGCAATTGCTTGCATCCAAGTAAGAATTTGCAGTTTGTGCACTTAGTTATATGAATAGATCCTCCAATGTTGAGAGCAATGACTGTTGTATCCTTTAAGTTTGTAAAACAGCATGCCATTGGAGAACCAACGATCTTTACAGTGCAATTTTCGAGCTCTGTAAGACCAACTCTTGTTTCATCAGATGAAACTTCTTTAGAAACATTCTTTTCGCCTTTCATTTGCCATGTTTGGATATCATTTATTATGTCATTATCAATTGTAGTTGTATTTTGCTGCTTTTGCTGGGTAGCCTTTCTAGAAAATTTGAACACTGGCTTTGCAACAGCAATTTTGACTTTGGAGTTTTCTAACTGATGAACATATAGCTGAAAAGTAAATCTTGGTAAAAGATTTTGACCTTGTTGAAGAATTACCATCAAAGCGTCAACATCACTGTTATGCTTTGCCGCATCTGTTATTTTTTCACTAGAAATTTGTTTTATTCTGTTTTCCATCTCAGATAAGAATCCTTGTTTGTTCTGAGAGGATAAGCATCTTTGCAATTCGTCGTTCATAAAAAAATGTTTTCTTTTCTAAACGTGCACTTTTTAATTCGTTTTTGTTCTGGCTACTTAATAATTATATTGAATCTTCTTTACCCCGGCTACTCTTGAAAAGAGTTAGTAGTATTTGGCATATATCTGGCTATTTCAAACAAATTCAATAATTTTGATATAATATCATAATATTACCAGTTATGAGTAAAGGAAAATTTGCCTTTTGCAGTATGTTGTAGCATAATACATAATTGATAGCCCTCAAAATCTAAATTATTTTTGATATTGAAAATAATATTGATTTCCTATTACGTTATTAGTAAATATCATAAGTAAACGAATGTTTAGCACTAGAAATAGGATATCTTGCTTAAAAAGAAAGATATAAAAAGTTATTTAACAATAAAACATGTAAATTTATTCGATAGGTATTATAATATTAAAATATTCTAAGCGCCTTTTGAAGAAAAGGCGTGAACTGCATCAACAAATGCCAAATATGTTGAAATAATTCCAGCAGCTAAACCGAAGAGGCCAAGAAGAATTGCCAAGATATTCTTCCAATATGTCCACTTCTGTTTCGAGTTAAAGAAGTAAAGAATGGCTGGATACATATAATTAGCAAAACAACCACCAAGAGAGCCAGAAACACCAAGAGCTGGCTTGACCTTGGATAAGAACATAGCAATAATAAGAGGAATGCCATTTGTAAGGCATAAAATTAAAGCACGCTTTCCATTTGATAAAGTATTTGGTGTATTAACTTTATAAATCAAAGAAGACCAGCTACCGAGTACTGCTTGGCTAAGTAATGGATAAGCGCATGTAACAACTACAAAGAAACAAATTCTGACGATAAGAATAACAATATCATTATTTTCAAAGCTATTAAGGATATTATCTGAAGTTTCGGCACCAAAGATTGTATATCCTGTGATTCCGGTTACACCAACAACAAGGCAGCAGAGAATACAAGTAATAATAATTATTCTGCATCTTTTTCTGTAATCTGGGTTGTAAAGCTTCATTGATGGTATAGTTACAACAGGTAATGAAAAGGTGATCGCATAAATTGATAATGTTGAGAAAACTTTGAAATCAAGTTTCCAATAACTGATTGACTTGCTAATTCCTTGCTTGGGGACGATTGAACTGCATTTGTATATCATTACAATGAGGAAGAATGAAAGGCAGAATACTGTTGCTGTTGAAAAGTATTGCAAGAATGAAATATTACGTGGAATAGTAAGAGGAATTGGGAGACATATAGAATAGACGAAAATCATGAGGGCTCTCCACCAAATTCCTTTAGTTAGATCGATTCCTCCCATAGAAAACCATGAAATGAGCATATCTCCAGCGACAATCATATAAGCTAGGAGGGCACAAGTTAAGAAAAGAAGTGTTAATACTGATAAAACAATCGAACCAATCTTACCTAGAATCTTAAAAGCGAGGTCGTCAAAACCATCTGCTCCTGTTTGCGTCTGTAGCTTGATAACGATATTTGTTGCGAAGAATGATAAGACAGCCATAAGTATTAGAACAACATATGACATTATTACGCCTGTATTTATGAAAGAATTAGGAACACTTAATAGACCAATGCCCAAAACAGAGTTTAAGAGATTGAAAATAGTTCCAATAGCACTAACTTGCTTAACTTGCTGTTTTTGGCTTGGTTCTTCGTTAACATCCTCTTCTTCTGGTCGAGGGACATCTGGAGCTTGCTGGATTGGAAGACCATCAATACCAATTTGGACCTTTCCAGCAGTTGGATGCTGATTTTCGTTCATGCTTGGTAATTCATGGTCTTCATTAACGATGTCTTCGAGCTCCATCGTATTTTCGATTTTGATAGTTTCGAAAAACGATGATATTTTTTGAAAGAATTTTTAGAAAAATATTATCGGAAATGAGTAGGGGTAATTTTAGCTAAAAGTGACACGCCTGTAAAAAGCGACACACCCGTGAAGGGTGTGATTACCGATCGGTAATTTCGACAGTTTAGAATTTAAAATTTTTTATGGAACTGTTGCGAGTTTCATAAAGAATTTAAGGAATATAAGCAAAGATTTGAATCAAAATCTTAGACCTAAGCCGCTCGATTCGCTCGCGGCTTCCGCGAATTACAGATCAGCAAAGATTTGAATCAAAATCTTCGAACTAAGCCGATCGCTTCGCTCGCGGCTTTCTTTATTATTTTAAATTTGCATATTTCCATCAAAAGTTCATAAGGTAAAAAATTTCGTTTATTTTTACTAAGAAAAAAAAGGTTTTTGATAATAAATTTATTTTATTTCGAAAAAGTAGCAATAATCGTAAAAGGGTATTGATAGGCTTGCTAAAGTAACTAATTTTAGCTGTCAAATACTTTTGTATTTTGAAGTAAATTAGTATAAATTTGTTTTTACTTTTATTTCGAAAAAGTAACAATAATCGTAAAATGGTATTGATAGGCTTGCTAAAGTAACTAATTTTAGCTGTCAAATACTTTTGTATTTTGAAGTAAATTAGTATAAATTTGTTTTTACTTTTATTTCGAAAAAGTAACAATAATCGTAAAATGGTATTGATAGGCTTGCTAAAGTAACTAATTTTAGCTGTCAAATACTTTTGTATTTTGAAGTAAATTAGTATAAATTTGTTTTTACTTTTATTTCGAAAAAGTAACAATAATCGTAAAATGGTATTGATAGGCTTGCTAAAGTAACTAATTTTAGCTGTCAAATACTTTTGTATTTTGAAGTAAATTAGTATAAATTTGATATTATTTTAACTCCCTTTGAAAACCTCAATTTTCCATACAGAGGGAACGGGAATAGCATCCAATATTCCCTGAGAATGGTTGCGCATTCTCAGTTCCCTCTATATTTCGAACGAAGCTCTTATCGGTCTTTTTTTTTAATACTAAACGTTTTTTTTCCCCTGTCACTTTTAGCTAAAATTTGGGTTTGCCAAAACATTTAGCTAGCAATTTCGACCTTTGACTCCACTCAAGACGTCACTTTTTTAATTTTGCGGTATCATATTTTTGGAAAATCTTTATGAATATTATATAAAAAGTCTCTTTAATATCTATATTTCATATTTTAATCGATTTTTAAAGTTTTTGCGAAAAGTATTCAATTATTTTTGCTATTTGGTCGGGTAAATGTCAGATTTGCGACATTTTCTGATATGATATTCAGATTCTACGTTGATAATAATGCTTATAGAACCCTCTTGCTATTGTGTCAAAATTGCGAAACCGATAGCAAAAATATCTCGCAATATCAAAATTGAGATATTGAGTGAATTATGCATTATAGAGATTAAAAATCTGATTTGTGAAAACATCTCATCAGTTTCTAGCTAATTCAAAAATCTTTACTATCTTATTCGATTAAAATGAAAAGGGAATAGTTTCATTATGCTTTAAATGACAGCCTTATAATATAATCATAGTTTTCGCTCAATATGCAGCATTTTTTTTTCGAAATCTATGGTCAATATCCTAAATACTGATTGCTTTGCATTCATATCTCTTACATTTTCTATACCCACATCACTATTCATTGCTATTCCTATCTTTTTCATTTTTGTTTGTTTCTCATAATTTCTCAAAAAACATGATAACTTGATATTTGTAAATATCATACTTTATAACGTAAATAAGAACTTGACCTATTAAGAAAAGCAGTAATGAAAAGAAAATCTGAAATTCATAAAAATTACAAGTTTCTGATGACAATTAGCTTAATTAAACCAGATACAAGATTATATAATTGTATTTTCTATCCAATTATCCATATAATACCTTATCCAGAAAAAATAACTTGATCAATACCAAATGATTTTTTAACTAGTAAATAAAGTATTTTCTTTACACACACATTGTATATCATAGTTTTTTTTTTTTTTGGTTTCGCAAAACATCCAAAAACAAATATGCTATAAAAGTGACAATTTTAGCAAAACGAAACCCTTAATCCAATCGAAGATTCATGGATGAATAAATTGAATAGTTTACATCTTTAGGATCAAATGAATGATTGTATCGTTAATTTAAATTGAACAAAGATACTTTAAAATTAAAAATCAAGGATAGTTGATAATACTGGATATTAAAACGTTATTTTCTTTTGTTCCAAATTTTGAAAGACCTTCCGCGGATTCACAATTTATTTTCTGGAAACTCTTATAAATCTTGTAATAGCCTTACATCATCATCGTGATTTCATCAAGCGTAAAAATAATTGATAGAACATATAAAATCTACGCTTTCATCAAATCAGAAATCTAATTTGTAAATAATTTTATGATGTTCGTATATGCGTATAAATGCAGTTCAGTTAGATGCTACCCTATACTGCATAAAATTAAGAAAGATGAACAAAAATTAGAAAACCAGCAACAAACTCTTTTTTATTTGAAAAATTCTAGTTGTAGCCTGCTTTATTCATGCACATGATCAAAAAAAAATAAATTGAAAAGCAGAATTAGAGCGAGTAAAACAAAATCATCATGTTCATGAATCTTTGAAAAGCCATTTTGTATTATTTCTTTAATGTTTGCTGGTAAACGAGAGCTGCGAACAAAATCTCACTGGCGCAATAATCTATGAACATCTTTATTAGTGCTTCGATCATTTGATCATGATACTCATCACCAGAATAACCATCAGATCCATACATGTTACTAGCTCAAGTTTTAATGTATAGATTTTCATCAGCATCTAATTGCCTGATTATAGAATTCCTATTTTCTTTAGGCATCGATCTTCCAGATGTTGTTGCAAGTATTGCATTAAGCACTCTGAAAGACATAATATGCCCAGATCCGAACTTTGAACGCCCAAGATCCATGCTAAATGGATTGAAATACAATTTCAAATTGTAAGAGGACGGGAACTTTCTTTAGATGCCTCTTGTAATTCAATATAAATAGTAATTTCTATAAACTAAAATGTTTTATTATTGAATTGTACAGATTTCAGCACAAAAAATAACAAAGTTATTTTACTGTGCATAGAAATGAAGCAATAGCAAATCCAAAAACAATTAGCGGCGGTATATTTTGGTTTGCCTCTAATTGGGCTTCACTATTTGATGTTCTCATCAGAGATAAAAATTCGGTTTGTTTTTCATCAAGAAGGATGCAGTTTTTGATACTAGAGATAGCAAATCGTCCATTGTGGTTCAAAACCCAAACACCACATGGACTTATTGAAGGAATTTTTGAATTAAGTGCAGAAGGAACTTCTGGAATAGGATTTTTAAAAGAAAGTGATACAGTTCGTGGAGATTTAGGTATTTTGCCTGGCATGAATGAGACTTCCATCAATTCCTTTTCGCCAGAGTATAAAGTATTAAAATCGTAATTTTGGGTCGAAACAAGTTTTGCATCGCTGGATGATGACGATAAGTGGGCTTTTGTTCCCTTGAAAATAGGAATTGTACGCATTGATTTTTTGACTTTTGCGTGATATAAATATTCTGCTCCTCTTTTAAGTTGAAAATGAACCATTCCACCATTCCAAGATATTTTCGTTATTTTTTCGAAATTATATGGAACCAGTGTCGATGTGTAAACGTAACCTGGCAATCGATTAATTTCTTTTTGAAGTACGTGAACTTCTTCTTGCGATAATCGGCGATTTGGATCTGAAGGTTGCTCATTTTGCACTGTTTCTACTGGCTCGGCTTCGTTTTGATGTTCTTCAACATTTTCTTCTGATTTTGGTTCTTCTTTTGGGGCCGGAACTTCATTTATATCTTCATTTGGTTTGCTTTGATCATCTATTTTATCAGATTTCTCGTCTTCGAGAATAAGAATTGGTTTTTTCTGCCTAACTTTACGAACTCTTGTTCTCGTTGGTGAACCTTTTGGTGGAGAAATCTTTATCTCTTCCTCAGATCCACTGTCATCGAAGACAACAGTTTTTAGAGTCATTGATAAAGAAACTTCTTATAAATTTTTTTTTTGTGCTCAAATTTTGTAAAAAAAAAGTCTCACACCTAACTTAATTGGAACTCCAAATCCTAAGTGTCTAATTGAATGAAAACTAAAACTTTTTATTTCAATTGGTTCTGGCATTCATCAAATCTGAAAGATCGTTTTAAACATTTTCCAAGGTCATAAGTTAATACTTTTTGGTCGGGATAAAGTAAATATAAATCAATATATACTACCTAATATGACTGTTATACTTTTCTGCTATTAAAATAAAGATATGTTGATTTTTGCAAAGCATATCAGAAAGCGATAAGTGCACCATTAAGTAAAATAGCAAAACCCCCTTTGAAAAACTATTATCAGACAATATATTATGATCTCTATATTCAGTCTTATAAAAATACTTCTAGTAATGTTTGCATAAGTGAATAATAAGTTTGAGGTTTATTCTTTGATAAAAAAGAATGCAGTTGCTCATTTATTGAGGGAATTTTGGAAATCAATGTGATCTATTTTAGACAATTAAGGAAAAAAAGCTTCATATTCATTCAGATGCATCTGTATATACTATATTTTATAGATGCATGACTACAAATCTTGAAATTAATTTCCAATATCATTGGCTCATTAGTAGACGAAAATGCAAAAAAAAATTGAGAAATGGTACGAAAAAAGTCACTTTTTATTATAGACTTGTGATTTCTTTACTGATTTTATCTGCGGCAATATGACGCGCGGTTTTTTATATTTATTTTTTGGCTTGGTATTTGCACTATGTGAAATAAGAGGTTCTTCTGTTTTTTTACTGTTTTTATTAATGGCAATATTAAGAGCGGGTTTTCCATTTTGATTTTTTGCCTTGGTATTTGCACTATGTGAAATAAGAGGTTCTTCTGTTTTTTTACTGTTTTTATTAGTGGCAATATTAAGAGCGGGTTTTCCATTTTGATTTTTTGCCTTGGTATTTGCACTATGTGAAATAAGAGGTTCTTCTGTTTTTTTACTGTTTTTATTAGTGGCAATATTAAGAGCGGGTCTTCCATTTTGATTTTTTGCCTTGGTATTTGCACTATGTGAAATAAGAAGTTCTTCGGTTTCTTTACTGTTTTGATTTGTGGCAATATTAAGAGCGGTTTTTCCATATTCATTTTTTTCATTGATATTTATACCATGTGAAATAAGAAGTTCGGCTATTTCTGTGCTATTATGATATGCTGCAATATGAAGAGCGGTTTCTTCATGCTCATCTTTTTCATTGATATTTATACCATGTGAAATAAGAAGTTCGGCTATTTCTTTGCTATTATTATATGCTGCCTGATGAAGAGCGGTTTTTCCATTATTATCTGTTTTATTGATATTCGCACCATGTGAAATAAGAAGTTCAGCTATTTCTTTGTTATTATCATATGCAGCTTTATGAAGAGCGGTTTGTTCATAGTTATCTTTTTTATTGATATTTACACCATGTGAAACAAGAAGTTCAGCTATTTCTTTAAAATTATATTCTGCTACAAGATGAAGAGCGGTTCTTCCATTTTTATCTTTTTCATTGATATTTATACCATGTGAAATAAGAATTTCGGCTGTTTCTTTACTATTATTATGTGCTGAAATATGAAGAGCGGTTTCTCGATCTCTATCTTTTTCATTGATGTTTATACCATGTGAAATAAGAAGTTCTGCTGTTTCTTTACTATTATTATATGCTGTTTTATGAAGAGCGGTTTCTCCCTCATAATCTTTTTCATTGATATTTATACCATGTGAAATAAGAAGCTCGGCTATTTCTTTGTTATTATTATATGCCATTTCATGAAGAGCGGTTTTTCCATCTTCATCTTTTTGATTGATATTTGCGCCATGTGAAAGGAAGTATTCAAGCAAGGATGGAATATTGAGCCTTGCGGAATAAAGAAAGCATTTGTTAACATCATTAGTTTGATCGAAATAAATTAAAAATGATTCCAAATATTGAAACTCGTGGAATTAATAAAGCATTTGTTAACATCATTAGTTTGATCGAAATAAATTAAAAATGATTCCAAATTATGATACAATCCGCAATAATATAAATCGATCTCTGAATTGTATTCGTTCATCAAGAATGTAACAAAATCAATGTTGTGAGAAATAATTGCATATTTCATGCATTCTTCATCTGGTTTTTGATGTTTCAAACATTCACTCATGATATCTGGATTTCCTCCTAAAAATGAAAACTTTAAACACATTTCAGTTATTTCTGAGTTAAATTTCGTTCTTAATAACTTGAAACAATCAACTGCGCCATGATAACAACATAATTCAAGCAATGAATATCCTTCGTAAGAATATGGATAAAAATCGCTTTTAAGTATTTGATCTTTATCAAATCCATCTCCTTCAGTGAATGCGATGAATCTTTCTAAGTCATTACACATAATTGCTCTGTAAATTGTATCTTCTCTCTGAAAACTGAGATCTTCTAATATAAGTGTTTCGAAATTATCAGATTTGTTTAATTTAATTCCATATTCTTTATAAAATATGTATCTAACACTTTGTTCTTGTGTGATATCCTCGTTTAATTGATAGTTATCATATATGAGCTTGGCGAGAGATAAATAAGCCTTTGTATAGCGATTATTAAACAGAATGATACAAAAAATATCATTTACAATAGTATGAGGAAGACATTTCTTTGAATCAATCAATTCTGTTTTGAGCATTTTGTAAATCTTGTTTATTTCTTCTTCATTTTCAGTTTTCAGCTGATACAATGCATTATATAAATCGATGTGGTATTTATATTTACTTCGCAATTCACTGAATTTATTTGGGTGAGTGTCTTGATCAGACATAAATAATTTATTATAAGAACGCATTTCAATTTTACCATTTAAAATATCTTTAAAACTATATTCGGAAAATAAATACTATACTATTTCAGCGGAAAAGCACTAAGGTATAATATCGGATTTCTTTTATGCAATTTGATTAAATTTGTAGATATGAAATAACCCAATAACAACAGAAACGTCTAAATCATTAATATTTTCATCCAGATGCGCATGATAAAAGCGTTATTTGCTTTTGGAAGTTACATATAAAGTTATAAGTTAAACATGTATATATTTTTCAACAAATTTCTTTTAATTTCATGGAATGCAAGGGATATCTAATAAGCAGTCCAGAATTTGGAAGTGATATATGAGATTATTGCATATTTTATAAATATCTAAGTTTGTTATTATATGCAGATGCCAATGAAGCATGATGTTCAAGCCAAAAAAAAATTCAAAAAAAGACTTTTTTTCCAATCGCAGGAATTGATGTTTCATATTCAGACTTTAAGTTAATTGGAACTCCAAACCCTCAGTGCCTCACAGAGTGGAAAACTTCATGCGCATGGTGGTCTACAAGTTCAGCTCCTTATTTTGATATACTGTCTCCAGCTCCTTTTATTCTTAAGTCAATATCATTTTTATCATATACTGGAGATGTACCTCCAAACACTATTCATGTGTATGGATACACAAATCCAGAAGATAAAGTTGAAGTTTTTTACGTTAACGATTCATTTTGCCGTGAGTTTTTATATTCAGATTGGAATGGAAATAAACTTTGTCCAACAAATAAAAGTAAGACATATAAAATCAATTCCGAAACTCCATATAAGACATATCGAATATTTATGGAAACAAATACATGTTTTAAACAAGGAACTTGTTGCTTTACATGCTTCCTTCTATCAGGTTTCAAATTTACTGGAGTAGTTCCAAACAAATTTTGTTTAACAAATATAATCCAAATGTATTCTTTTCAATTACTACACATACTAAATACATGCTTATTTCTACTTATTTTAGACTAATTTAATGATTTTTTTATGTGAAGAACGTGTTGCAGGTCATAAATATAATGCTATGATTTGATATTGCTTTTTCTCATGATTAAGGATAGTGTTTCCCATGAATGTAAATTTCAAGCGCAAAATTTGCTTGATTTCATGCAAATATATGATGCCTATTTGAGTATCCAACGAATGATATATCTTTGGAGGAGGCATATGAGATGATTTTTGATGATTCGATTTTGAATCACTTTTTGTCAAAACCGACAATTTCGCGAATTTTATAAAACGAACTGATAGTCTAATTTAACAATATAATGTTCGAAATTTTGGACGATAATTTTGAATTGTATCAATTTTTTTCCCCCCCCCCCAACTATCACAAAATGAACAAACCCATCGATGTTACACGACATCCTTGGAAGTTTGATACTGGCGAAAGTAACGAAGACATTTACATTATTGGAGAAACACACAACATGAAAAAGTATTTGTTTTTGACAAGCCGCGCCAGAATTATTGAATCTTATCCTCCATTTGAAACTTTTACACGTCTTCAAGATGATCTAATCAACCAAGATAAGATAACTGCGATAGCAATTGCAAATAAATCGAACTTGTTGGCTATTAGTTTCGCTAACGGAAGACTTGTTTTATATGATACAGATAATAAAAAGGAAGTTACGGTTTTCACAAGAAAATCCACATCAAATCTAAAGTTTATGAGCTTCACACCTTCAGATGATGGAATTCTCTCAGCGGATTCCGAAGGAGACCTTTATTCATATACTGTTGGCAAACAGATCCAAGAATCGAGGATATTTACTAATGGAATTAAGTCATTTTCTATTTTTGCCCCATCATTAACTTCAAATTTTGTATTTTTCAATTCAAAGTCCGATACTTACTTAAGATTGACATATTCTAATACCCAAAACATCATATTCTCATCGCAAAACAACGACCCGTTGTCAGCAGTACTTAAAGTTACTCCGAAATCTGCGATTTATTATTGTGTCGCCAGTTCTTCACTTTGTATCTTTTCTGTATACGAAAAAGGCAATTGGGAAGTCAGCCAATACCTTGTATTACCTCTACCAGCCATAGAAATCTATTTACCGAATGTTTCAAATTGTTAAGAACGAAATTCACATTACCAATCACTCCTCTTTGTCTTCAATTTTCATTTTTGCATGGAAATTCATACATCATGACTGAATGTTTGAAAGAACAAACGCCAGATAAAGAATGCATGACATATGCAATTATTTCGCACAATATTGGTATGATTTCATTTCTAGAAAAAGAATACAAATTAAAGCTGAATTTGCAAGATTGTGGTGACTTCCACAATTATGAAGCCTTTTCTTTTGACTTGGATCAAGAAGAATATTTCAGTTATTCATTAGTTTTTTCAATAAACTTTCTCATACCATCACTTTGTGAATATCTTACTTCACATGGTTCAAAAATTCGAGGAAGTGATTTTTTCGAAAATACAGCTTTACATTATTCAGCTCAATTTAATTGTACCGAAATAGCAGAAATTCTTATTAAGAACGGAGCAATTATCGACGCAAGAAATTTTGATGGAGAAACTCCTCTCATGGTAGCATCTCGAATGGAGGGTAAAGAAACAGCAGAGCTTCTTATTTCTCATGGTGCAAATATGAATGCAGCAGATAAATTTGGGAAAAATGCTCTCATCAAAGAAGCGCGCTACGGAGGGAAAAATGTCGCAGAACTTCTAATCTCACATGGAATAGGTGTAAATGCAAAAGGTAATGATAATAATACTGCTCTTCTTTATGCGTCGAATTCTGGTAACAATGAAATGGCTGCAATCCTTCTTTCTCACGGAGCAAATGCTCCTCTACATTTTGCCTCGAAATCCGGTGATAAAGAAATGGTTGCCGTTCTTCTTTCTCATGGAGCAAATGCCAATGAAAAAGATATCCTTGGTAACACTGCTATACATTACGCGATATCCTCTAATGATAAAAAATGGTTGAACTCCTTCTGTCTCACGGAGCAAATGTCAGTGCAAAAGGTCTATTTGGAGATACGCCAGTTCAGTTGGCAAGGTAAAAGAAACATTTGGAAATTGTGAAACTTCTTAAAAATCATGGCGCAGAAATCAGTATTTCTGATCAACTCCGCGATTACTTTGAGGAACATCCGATGGCTTGGCTATTGACGTTTTTGCTTATTATTTTAATTTGCCGATATTTTAATAAAAAATGAATCTGAGCAATGCACGGAATTGCATACGGTTAGATTTTTCATTAGTATTACAAATTTAAACGTTATTGGTATATTAATTTCTTTTATTTCATATAATAAAACATGGATTCATTTAAGGGTATAGATCCGTATTTTTCCCAAGTGAGCGGGGTATCTCCAATCCCAGCCCTATCGTCCTCCCAGTGTCAGTTTTCAATATAAAATCCAAATTTTTTTTGAAAATAAAAATTTCGAGAAATTTTTCTGATTTTTTTTCTTTGATTTCAATAATTCAAAATAAATTTGGGAGTAAAAAGACACTATTTAATGAAATTCATATGAGTGAATGTGGATAAATACTCTCAAAACATACAATTTATCTATTTTTTCTTTATATTATCAACTAATTAGTGATAATTTTTTTTGAATCAGATTTTTTTTCATTAAAAACATAATATATAACACAACAATGATGCACACATACGTATCTACACATCAAAATATAAAGCTTGTTTTGGTCTGGGCATCCCAACCCAAAATTCTTTAAAAATTGAATAAAATTGAATACTTGGGGCTGGGATGCCCATCCCAAAACCGAATTGAATTTTTTGAATTAAAGAATATATTTATGTATTTATAATATACATGTGATGTCTATAAAAAATACTAAATTCTAAAAAAAATTCAATTTATTCAAAACGTATACTAAGTGATCACTTCATTAGTAGGATCAGCAATCCTACTAAATGGTGAGAACGCCACTAACTAAAAAAGGAGTCCTTGGAGCTCTTGATCTCTTGTCAGTAGAGTTCATAATGAGGCATGGCATCTACTGATTAGAGATCAGAGCAATCCTACCTTACCTTCAGGAGCTACAAAGCTCCTAATCGTTACGAGAGGGAGTCTTGGAGCTCCTGAAGCTCATCAGCAGAGGCTATTTACCATTTGGGCCTCTTCTGATGAAAGATGCGAAACACGTCTACGAACCAGGAGCTTCAAAGCTTCTAATCCTTACTAAAGGGAGCTTTGGAGCTCCTGAGTCTCCATCAACAGAGTCCCAGATGGTAAATGTCCTTTGCTGATGAAAGATGCGAAACACATCTACGAACCAGGAGCTCCAAAGCTCCTAATCCTTACGAAAGGGAGCTTTGGAGCTCCTGAAACTCCTTTTACTATAAAATATGACAGTTTTCTTCTGAGGTTCTCATCAAATCTAAGACTTCAGAAGAAAGCTGTCCTATCAATGTATACTTACACTCTCATGGACTACAAGTGTACAATTTTAAAGCAGAGATTATCCGAGGCCTCTCATCAAATGAGGGACCTCGGATAATCTCTACCTTAAGTAGTCAAATAACTTTTCTCACTATTTAGGAACAAAAGAACAAGAGTTGGAGTACTTTAAGGCAAGATTTTTCCGAAATCTCTCATCGAATGAGAGACTTCGGAAGGACCTTGCCAAATCCTTGAACGCCAATATCCTTGGAACTGAGCTAGAACCAGGGAGAAGTAGCATACTATAGAGCACGATGGTAATCTCGGAAATACTTATATCGCCCCAAGCACAATATTTAAGAAGTCTAACTCATATATACAAGAAGTCAGGCTGAATAGATATTGTGCATATGGTTTGCAGAACTCTCATGATATTTAAAATTCATGTTATCCCAAAAAAGGTGACACTTTGGGTGTATCGTCCATCCCAGGGATGCAAAAATCACATCACCTTGGATCTATAATTTAAGGGTGCCGGAAAGTGAGGTGACGCGATTATCGTGGTGATATTGCTCTCCATCATGCCATATTCTTTGAATGTAAAAATATCACGAAACGCTATGTTAATGATTATTGACATGATTTCTTAAATGATGATTTTGTAAATTCTTTTGATATGGAAAGAAACTCCAATGATTTGGTTGAACTTCTACTTTCAAACCGTGCCACTGTCAATGCAAATAACCATGATGGGAATACACCTCTTCATTTAGCTTCAATGATGGATGATGACAAAGTCATTGAACTATTAATTTCTCATGGTGCTACAATAAATCCTTTAGGTATAATGATCTAACTCCCCTTGACTTAGCTGTTATACGTGAAATAAGTTGCCGAAGGGGCGCAGAAGATCAATGCGGATCTAGTCCTGATTATCAATTGGCAAATAAGGTAGTGAATCTCTTAATATCACATGGAGGAATAACTACGAAAATAGGGGACCAGGCGTATACTTAACTTTTGAAATTAAGAGAAAGTTAACAAAATAGTATATGAAAGAATAAGCATTCGTTGTATTTCAAAGATTCTCCAAATTGTACTATGGGTATTTTATTGAATTAATTTCATTTCTAAAATAACATATATTTGGACATTATATAAATTCATAAACTAAAAACTTATTTATAACTATATACAATGTATTTCGTTATGGAATACATTATCAAATATTTTGGTTTCCAACAAAAATCTGAAACGGTTCTATCAACGGTCTAAAGTTTGATATTTGAAATAACAATTTATATGCGTCTAATTTTTATCTCTTTTAAAAAACTGCATCGAATAAATTCCGGTAAGAAAATTTCATCAATTTTTTTTGAATCATTATTCAAATTTGAGAGATCGTCTCATATGACAATAATTCAGAATACAATCATAAGACATGAACTTAACAATCCTTTCAAACCGATTTCCTGTATTACATAAGACATGCTAACATGTATAATCATCAGAAAATTTGTATCATTTCACATTTCATTATTAATGATACCTCAATCAGTACCATGCATGATTACAGGTGTTAACCATCTTCCTGTAACTCAAAATCTAAATCAGAATGCTTTTAATGCATCTGCCATGGATATTCTTACAAGATTAAACAATGGAGAAGAGGTAAGAGTTGCAATTGATTGCGAAGGTTTTCAATTAGGTTATCACTCACATTCACTTGGAATTCTACAAATAGCTGAATGCTTCAAGAGTGGATTTCCTAGTTCAAACTCTTCACATGTATCAATTGAGCTCCAGCAAGGATTTTTAATTAAAACTCCATTCTCTCAGCAAACTACTACATATCTCTCAAACATCTTAAGCCATAAGAATATAAAGATTATTATGTTTGGCTGTACGTGCGATATTCCAGCCATTCTTGAAGAAGGTGTAAACTTAAATATCAAAGCAATCATTGATGGACAAACTTACTCCATTGATAGACCAAAAAGTCTTAAGGACACAATAGGCATTGCTACAAATTGCGTAGAATACAATAATGCATTAAGATCATTAGCAACAAAAGATGAAATCAATTTTGACTTATTCTACTATCAAAACAAGGATAAACCAGATCCATTTTCAATTATGCTCACGCAAAGATTCTGGAATTATAGCGGAAATGATATTGGATTAACAGCAATCGGCCTGATGGGCGCTCTTAGAATGACAAGTTTCGAAAACTTAATAAGATCTTCAAATATAAAAACCCAGAAAATATATGATCTAATCCAGCGTCATGGATATATCGCTCCTGCTTGCGAAAACGGTTTCCAATATTCACCACCTTATATTAATGGAAGGATTCCAAACATGGAAGTTGCCCTTAAACTTTATGTAAGATGTTGCTTAATCGAAGAAAATTTCAATCTTTATCAATTATTTGCACCATGGGATAAGAAGCTTTCTTTGAATCAAATTCGCCAAGGAAAATCAAAAGCTCTAAATTATATAAGAAATCAGAGATTTTACTAATTTGATCTGATATTTTTAAAATCTGAAATTCTTAAGACTAAACTTATCATATATTATCAAAACGGCATATGAATTTAAATTTAAATGTCAACAATAGGATCAATTCGATATCGTAGATTTTATATATAAAAATTTGAGTCAAATAAAGAATTTGCATGTATAAAGCTCTAAAAATACGGAAATATATGCTATATATAATTAAAACATGGGCGATGAGTTTAGATGAAATAATTATGTCATTCATTGAAATAATTCCATTCAAATCATAGCAATTGCAATCCCCAGCTAATCTAATGTGGTTTTAATTAAAGTGTTGAGGGTGAGTGCACTGTAATTTCCAAAAATTCTACTTTACAATTGTAAACCATGTAAAAATGCCCGTTTTTTAGTGTATCTACCGGGATGCATTTTCCAAGAAATCTATCGAAATATGCATGATGATTTGCTGGATATGTATATCGCCATCACAAAAACAAATTTCAGAAATGAAATCATAAAAAAAAAACGTGGTTCTTGGGCAAAAATAAATCAATATTAGATGCATCAAATTTCAGAAAGTTGGTACCCGGTATGACTCTGAATTAATTTCAATTAATTCAATTTTAACAATCATAATTCAAATGCATTGTCTGCTTATTTTGGCAAGATCTCATGATTTTAAGTGTTTACATAATGAAAATGAAAAATGGCTTGTTCCAAAAATAGATCTTACTTCAATTAAACCACAAAAGAGAAAAATTAAAGAATCATCTTGGCAAAATATACGTATAAACATCGTTACAGATTTTATTACAGGTGCACTTGAAGACAATCTCAAATGTAAATCTGTTGGTCAAACAGTTTCATGGAGCCGTGGTACATTTAAGTGCGCCCAAGAAGATATTCTGAACGAATCAAGAAAAGCTAATTTTATTCAAACTCTAGATAACGTTAAGGTATACTTGCAGAAACTACTCAAAGTTATACCTTTTTCTGGCTCAATAACCATGGCAACAGCTGCTTCAAATTCTTTTTCATATTCACCGTTGAAAAGTTATACAGGTTATGATTTAGTTCTAGCTGTTGTTCTTCGAGTATTGCTCATAACTTCATTTGTAGTAAAGATATTAATGATATTGAAACATATATTAGTAGTGTATATACTAAGGTTTTTATTTCTATGATATTGATGTCTTGGATACTTCCAGTTTGAAGTAAACTGTTTCGCAATTTTCGAACTTGCGGGCCTATCTAGTCCCTGGTTATTCCATGGCAGGGGCTGATACTGCAGAAATGATATCTAGGTACAAGATACTAGATATTTTATAGAAAACATTTGGCACTTGTTAAAAAGTGTCGAGATCTAATTAGTGGGTTACTTCAAAACTAAGACCGATTGCACTACCATCTCACTGGATTCTGCTAATTACCATTAGGGAACAAACCCAATGGTAGCGGTTTCCAGTCGAAATGGTCTCATTCAAAGTTTAATTAGGTTTGTATCTAGTCCTCCAATATTGTGTTTAAGCCAGTGAGATACATTAAACACAAAATTTCAATAGTTATACTAAAAGTTTTACAGAACAAAGTTTATTTTCAATTCTCATATGTTGAGATAAATGCACTTTTTCCCTTCCAGATTTTAAAAATTTTGTATGATTTTTTATGTTTTCGATAACCTTATAATTATAAACATCGTTTTCACTTAGTTTGAATATGATACTATGATACATCATCACTTAAGGTTTATACTCATATAAACAAAACAAAATAAAAATGATTTTATGGGTTTGAAAAGTGTTGTTTTTGTAATAGCTTTCACTTCACTTTCCGGCACCCTTAAAGGAAATATATAACCTATTGGTGACTTCCATTTCATTGAAGTTTGTATGATGGACAACCCAGTCATCAAAATGGTAACGTCATGATGGTGACTTCCTTTTCATTTACTTTTTTATGTACAATATGATTTCAGAAGCTTATTATAATATGTCTCGAAAAATTGAAATTTTCAATATGATTTTGAAAGTTATTGAACACATTTTCACTTCTAACTCAATATATTCAGGTGCCCAATGGGAACTTTTATCATGAAAATGAGGTTTGAAATTGCATAATAAAAAAAGTGATATAAATAACTTTTAACTCTGAAACAAAATTTAATATATCTTTGGACGACAAATTTCCTCGAAGTAAGTTGTACCCCAGTCGTTTCCTTGGGCTCCAGTGGAATTCAACTCGAAATGTGAAGAAGTGAAGTAAGTTGGATCGACTTTAACAGTTGGTCCGTATCTAACTTCCTTCTTCTGATCAGCTTTCTCCTCGTAGTATGGATCGAAAGTGCCTCCTGTGGCAAATCCGACTCCTCGAAGGTGGTGAAGGTCTACGCCCTTCTCAGCTGGTTTTCCTGTACCGGCCAGTTTGTTGAAATCCTTTGCTGTTGTACTGTAATCCGGATTATCTTGACCAAGGAAAAGATGATCGTCGCGAGCATCAACAAACTTGCCGCGGCCATCCTTTGTACGATCGTAATTACCAATAAGATCGGATGATGTTGTTTGATAACGTCCTTGGCCATCACCTTTGAAAACAATATTTGATTCTTGGAGGTTAACTGTAAGACGCTCTGGACGGACGGTCTCAACCTTCTTGTTACGATCTGGCCATTCGTTCTTTTCATGTCCTGGATCGAAATGAGTATCACGAAGCTGAGCTTTATCAATTGGATTTGGAATTGGTTGTCTGTTGGTAAAATCGGTTGTATAGTTGGACTTCCACATACTTGAGTTGCCAGCATCACCATGATCACTAAGAACAGCGCATGGAGGAGCCTTGAAAGTTTCTGGACGTCCTGCAAGTTTTGACGGTTTGTAGAGGGAAGATCCCATTGTTGTCTGGTAGTTTGGCTTATCATAGCCTATATCGAAGTTTGCTTTGTTCATATCCATGATTTTGGCGTCTGCAACTTGTGGATAATTTTGTTTTGCTTTCTGGTTTGATCTGGCTTTCTGATGCGGGCCAAGACCAGCGGATTTATCAAATTCGACGTGAGATTTCTGTAATTCGAGATTGTATGTCGGTGGTTTTTCGATTGGACGTTCGATGAAGTCGTTATTGTATGTTGTATCAAAAGATTTAGGATCTGAGCCGAAGTAGAAGTGAGAAGAAACGCCTTCTGCCTTTCTTGCCTTAGCTTCTGCGTTATCATAAGGAGGCCTGCCTTCGTTAGCCTCTTTCAGAGCTGCATGGCAAGTAGATTCGGGTATCGGTTCATCTCCTTTAATGATGTCGGAGCATGGTAGTGGATCTGCTCTTTTTGGAACGTCAGATCTATCAAAACGTTTGTAAGTTCTTTGGTAATCTGTTTTCATTTCTTCAGCATCTGGTTCTAAGTTACCACCACCAATGCTTATGCCTTCTGGTGGAGCGTTTGTTTTGTAATTGAAGTTAAGAGGATGCCTAATGTACGTATCGTGATAAAGAGTTGACCAATGATCATCAATCTCCTTCGGATTGACACTATCCCTGCGCGCATTCTGTTTAATCTCTGAGATATCATCACGCTTTGGGATAGGACGGAATTTGTACTGTACTTGCATTGATTAATAACGGATGAAAAAAAGTGCAAAAAAAAATTTTTTGATTTTGATATTCTAATTATATTCAGATATTTTCATATGTATTTATTTAATATAGTTTGGTTGCATTACAGAAAACAAATCAAATTATCAAAAAGCTTAAAATAAATTTCGAAATAAGAATTTTCACTTAAAATATATAAAATAGCCATTATAATGAGTATACTTAGACTAGTTAAAGCATTTTCATTAAACAGAATATAGTATTTATACTCAAAACATCAGAGAAATCTTTTCCATTGATAAAATAAAAAAGTAACGAAAATTTTTATTTTGAACGTTATTTTTGATAATTTTGTGTGATGTGCCCTCCAAAAAAGCTCACAGCGCCACCAAAAAAGGCACAACAAGCGCAAAAAGCCAGTAAACTATCCAAAGGCAAAAATTCGAAATCGAAAAACCCAGAACCAGAAGAGCAACCAGAAGTTGTAGAAGAAGAAAAGCCAGTTGTTGAAGAACCACCAAAGAAAACAACATGGCTCGATACATTAAAGTATACTCCACCGCCTGATCAAGAATTGCACATAAAACTTTCAAAAGAAAGACAAGCAAAAACAAAACTCAAACATGAACAGATTTGTATGAAAGAACTACAAGGAATATTAAATTATTCGTTAGCAGTTAGTCAGCAAACTACAGATTTTAAAGAAAACAACGGTTTTAATGAAAAATTACTTCAAAGAAAATTACGCCATTTAAGAGAAGATTATCAGAAAGGAGAATATCTTCCACCAGAAGTGCAAATAGAAACATCGCGTAGTACAGTTGTCCGTAGAGAATTCAAAGCAACGATTTTGAAATCACCAGATATTTCTTGCCTTTTACAGACAGAACCTGTTGATGTTTACAAATCATTAATCAATCTAATGAAGGCTACATCATCAAATGAGTTCACTTACGATGCAAATCCAGAGATGGATTCGTTATTAAGTCAATTATCAAAAATGGGCAAAGCTTTTTCAGATCCAGACAAACTACCAGATCATGTTGATCTTCCTTTTATTATTTGTGTTACAGGACCTCCATGTTCCGGTAAAACAACAATATCACAATTCATTCATAAATTTTTCAAAGTTACACAGATAAATGCCTTAAATTCAGATAGTGTACCTGATTCTGGTGATCCACATGTTATCAATGTCTCTTCTAATGATGAAAAAGGCATTTTAAACGCCATTCAAAATGTTTTAGATAATTCAAACGATGGAATTTTAATTGCCAACTATCCAACGACCAAAAACCAACTTTCTGGTCTTGAAAAGTTCTTTGCTGGTTATTCCAAGAAATCAAGTAAGAACGCAAACTTAAATATCATCTTCAGAACGTCAATGACAGAAGAAGAAGCTCAAGAAGCCATAAAAGAAAGAAAACTTGATACAAACAGCGGATTTGTCTATAACACAACATTCAATCCACCAAATGCAATTGATATTGCACAAGGAGCTGTTTTAGAAGATTATCCAGGCGATTTAAGTAACTACCAGAAACTTTTACAATCAACATCTAATATGGATAATGCAACAAAGAAAGGAGCGATTGTAATACAAATAGGAAAGTTAGATACAGTTGATAAACTTTATTTACAGATAGAGAATGCATTGAGACAATGTTTTGATCAGAATAATGTTCAACCAACATTTACAACTTTCGTTGGATTAAGAGATAGAGAACAACTTGAATTTGCAAAGCAATGCTTTAATATTTTCAATTTATGGAATTCTGTTTGTGTTACAATGTTTGCACAAGGATTGAGCGAGATGTTCCAAAGATCTAAGTTAATTAAAGAACAAACAAAATACTTGGCAAACGCTGCTTTGGAGAAATACGCAATGATTTTGTCTCAAAAAGATTTTAGACCTGAAATTTCTGTCTCTTTGAGAGGAAATTCTGGTTATTTTGATGCGATTTGGAACGAAACAATTAAAGAAAGAGATGAAAGAATCAAAGATATCAAAACAGTCTTAAGAAGAAGTGGATTGGAAGACTTAAAAACGATGTTAGATAATGATAGTAATTTAATTTACGAATCAATTTTGAACAGATTATATATAACTTCATGGTTCTCTAGAGAGTTCGGAGAAGTTGTTTCTGGTAAGAAAGTAGAGAATATCGATAAACCGACATTGCCAATGTTCGATAACACTGATGATTTCGAAGAAATTGCAAATAATTTCAATTTGGAAAACTTTTCTTCATCAAAGGAATCGAAGATGGATAAATTTGTTGATTTCTTAGTTTATTACAAAGATAACGCGAAATCAAATATAGAGCGTGATGACGCTGTTCTAGGAAATAAGATGTTTTCTTATTTAATTGAAGCGAAAGAGAAAATTGATAGTGAAATCAATAAAGAACTCGAAAACATGGAAACAACAATGAAAAGCTGGGCAAATAAAAGATATAGAAATGAAATGGAGTCTTTTGCTGAGAAATATAGTCATTGTGATGAATTACCAGCTGGACAACCTTTGTTCACTTTTGATAAAACATTTGCTGATGGAGATGTTTTGAAGTTAATTGAAAGACTTGGATACAGATTCTCTCCAAAACTCCCGTTACCAATAGAAGAAGAAAAGATCTTGAATATGGTGAATGCTGTGAAAGGAACAAATGTTTCTTGTGTTACAAAGTTTCTTGAAGCTGCTGATAAAGCTAATTTCACAAATGAAGAGAAAGATTACTTGGAATGCTTCATTAGATGGTCAACTATTCCTGAATTTATAGATGTAAATTCCTTCTGCATGGCTTTCGTCCCTGATTCTGAAACATCAGATAAAGTTTCAATTTTGTTATTTAAAAAATAAATAAAAGTCTTTATGTTGTATATTTTAAATTTTATTCGATTTTTCTTTAAGGGGCTCATAGAGCTTTCTGACATGCTCTCACAAAATCAATATATCTTTATTGTAACATCCATATAAGGTGCTATTTAGTGATTTCTAATAACTTTTTCTAGACTAATAATATGATGCTTATGAATCAAAAAAAATTCTGAGTATGTCAGAAAGACGTAAGTGCACCCTTAAGTGTGTGAAACTTCATTGAAAATTAACTTTAAACAACAAACCAACATATGTGCGCTCTTAATTTACATATAAATATAATCATTGATATCAAATAATTTGAGTAGTAGAATAGGATGGGTTGTGTGACTTTTTTTGTAAACGTAAGAATTCATACAATATCGAGCGATTTTGTATCATTTTTTTAACATTAATTTTAAAATATATTTATTTTTTTATTCTTACATAAATGACCCAACAAGTAAAACCAGATAAAATAGATTATCGAATTTTAGAGGATGGTGTTCCTGTTTATATTCAAAGATTTAAAGGGAAGCAATATTATAGAATTGTTAATCCTGAATATCTTAAACATATATTTAAAAAGGAAGACTGTGAATTATTAAACGCTAATGAATATGAAAGCCAAAATAAGCTAATGAGGTATAAATATAATGATAAAGAATATTTAATTTCATGGAATCAATGGAGTCATAATCAAAGACCTCATAAACGAGAGAGTAAAAGAAATCAGATATAATTATTTTCATGAATAAAAAATAAACTTTAAAAATTCATGTCTTACATTTTTGAATAATTTATTTTTATTTTGTATGAAATGAGCGTCAAAACTAACGACGTGAAAACATTAGGATTCACAAACGAGGAAATAAAGGATATATTAGATGAGATGTGTTATGAAGTTAGTAAATATTATTTAAGAAATTGTCAAAAATTTGCCGAGTTATTAAATGATTTAGATTATGATGGAAAAATGAATAAAGATGATGTTATAAATTTCTTATATCCTACATCTGAAGAAGAAAAACCTAAAGAACCTGAATATTATGAAGAACGGATTAAAGATGATGAATACGATGAAATTGAAATTGAAAGACTGGAAAAAATAAGAGATGAAATAGATGAAAAAATTAAGGAATTAAGAGAAGTTGAAAAATATAATGAAAATGAAGTAGAGGATTTAATGAATATCCCAGCTTCAGAATCAGAAGTTCAGAAATCTCATGAAGAAAGATATAAAAATTATGTCTCAGAATCAACACAAAATTTATTAGATGGTGAAATAGACGAAACACTTTCAGAAGAAGGTACTAAATTTATTCGTAAACATAAGTTACAATTTATTGATAATGAAGAATACCCTTGTATCTTACTTTCACCCCTCGATTCTGAAAATTCAAAAAAGCTCTTAAAAACGTGACATATGCAACTAATACAATTAAGAAAGAAGATCATGATATTTACACAAATTATTATTTAAATAAATGCACAGGTGTTGATAAAGTTTTTGATTTATTAGATAAAATATCCAAAGGAACCATTGGAACCTATAAAATTTTGTGTGATGGTGGTTTCATTATTGAAGATACCAATAATGTTTCATATGAAAGAACAGCACCGAAGGAAGATGAAGTGGAAAGGTCTATACCATTCGTTATTAAGAATAAAAGATATGAAAACGTATAAGCATTATATTTATTCATTTATTTCAGAAAAAATGGAAGCAACCCATAAAACATCTTCTCATCATTTTATAGCTATTCATACATTCCTTTTCAAAGTTGTGAAATTAAATAAGACAGGAATTAGATTTAATGTATCAGGGTACGCATTCTTGAGTAAATTAAAATGTATTCGTCACGTCGCAGATGATAAAAATTTATGTGTTCTTAATTCATTTTATGGGCTTTAAAAAAAAACTTTATTTTTATTTATTTTTTAATTTTTTATTCTTACATAAATGAACAAAAACGGAACAGCTAAAATGAATGATAATCAAATTAGAGCAGAAGGTAGAAGGTTATTTAAACGCTTCTATAACATTCCTGATGGTGTTAATCCTAAAACTCGTAGAAGCTATTTAAATGAAGCAATAGATGCATATGAAGGGTTTGACATTTCATCAGAAAGTGAGAGATTAGCGAGAATGTTAAATGTTAATATTGATTTCTATTATTGTGATCCTCAACCAGAAGACGTGGACATAAATAAGGTAGACTTTCCATTAGTGGAATCAATAATGATAGATCCAGAATTTGAAACAGTAAATATTTTATTAACACAGAGTCCATGTGGAAAACTTCACGCTGACAGAATAACAGACGTTGAAGCACTCACCGGCTATAAAGTTTGTCCATATTGTAAAGAAGAAGTTTATTCTATCCGTGATGATCCAGAAAGGAAAAACCAAAGAAGATTTTTAAAGCATTGTGAGAAATGTAAAGAAAATAATGGAAGATTAATTCAAGACGTTCAGTTGCAAAACACAGCAACCATATGCACCACATATTACGAAACAGAAGATATATCAGTGGTTATTAGCTCATAATTTGCAGGAATATTATAAACCGACAAGATATTATATTACTTTTGACTTTGAAACATTAGAGACTAAAGAAGAATTACAACTTTCTGAGTGTGCAACTTTGAACGCTTACTTAAAACCATTCATGGTATCATCAACGGTTAAATTAAATGATAAAACATATACGAGGAATTTTTGCTTAACTTCGAGTGATTCTTTTATTTCTGATTGGATTGAGTTTTTATTTTCAACCTGTTCATTAGTTGCTAAATCAAATATTGAACAATATGAAGAATTAATGAAGTCGCAAACGGACCAAACGGGGGACTTTGTCTCATACATTAAATGAAAAACAGAAGGAAGCATTTAAAGAACTTCTAGATGAGGAATTCAATAAAGTGAATATCATAGGTTTTAATTCGGGAAAGTTTGATTTAAATTTAATTCTTCGTGATTTAAACACTGCAAAATGGAAAATAAAATCAATGCTGGGTTCATCTTCACAATTTAAGCAAATCATTGTAAAGAAAACAAACGTTCCATATGAATTGAGATTTATTGACATCAGAAATTATATAGCGGGTGGGACATTAGACCAATTCACTCAAGATTTCGGAAACAATAAATCACGTGTTAAATCCTTTTTCCCTTATCAATTCATCACATGGGAAAATTACGAAGAAGAATTATATAAAGTGGAACCATTCACGAAAGATTCATTTTATTCAGCATTAACTCAAGAAACTATATCAGATAGTGATTATCAAATATATCTCAATGATGCTAAAAATTTAAGAATAGATTAGAATATTTTATTCATTATTGCAATAAAGATGTTGAAATTATGATTGACCCAATTGATAAAATTATTGAAGAAACATTTGTTTATAAAATTGACATGCTTCATAATCTTTCTTTATCATCGAATGCTTCAATGATTCGTTACGCTTTAGCATATAAAGACTTTAATCCTAATGAAAAATATCCTGAGGAAGAGATAGAATCAAGTTTTGAATTAACGAAAAAGTATTGGAAATATAAAATTGAATCATATAAGAAACAAGATGAAAAAGCAGAAAGGGATACTAAAAATAATGTTTCAATGGATGATTTTCAATACTATCACGATTTAATCCTTTCATCTAAATGCAAAATGTGTGGTAAAGCGTTTACATATGCAAATAAACCAACATTGATAGAATCGATAATGAAAAACCACATACCAAAGAAAATTGTCAGTTAATGTGTTGTTATTGCAATGTCGTAAAATCAAATAAAGATGAAGATGTTCAACGTTTAAGAATCAATTTAAGAAATTATGCATTAAAAAATAATTTACCAATGACTTTAGATTCAGTTGAAGCTTATCACATTCTCCGTAATGGAATTACTGGTGGTCTATCAAATGTTCAACATAGAGTAAATCTTAAAGGAATCACGCACATTAATAAACTTTCATATAATCCAGAAACTAAAACTGTATCAAATGAGGACACCACCAACATTATGACTCATTTCGTTGGTGTTGATTTTAATTCATTATATCCTTCATCATTTTCATCTAATCCTCATGATTTCATTCAATATACTGACCATAAAATGTATATGCCGGGAAGATTGAATGGTGTTATCATTTGTGATACAGCAACAAAGAAAGCAAAAGCACTGGGAATAATTAAGAAGAAAAATACTTTATTCGTGGCTGAAGTAAAGGGTCACATTGATGAAAAATACATTAATGATTACATAAACTTTTTACCGATAATAAGAAACTTAGATATTATCACAGATGAAAAAACAATTGGCAGTTTTATGTATAATTACATGAAATCAAACAATCTACCAGTTGACCAGAAACAGAGAAATTAACTCAGTTAGCATCAACACACAACCAATATCAACCATTTTCTTCTTATTATCTTTGGTATCTAATAGACAGATTTCATTTTATCATTGATGACATTCAATCAATTTTAACATTTACTAAAAACACTTGTTTTAATGAATTTGCGAACAAATTTATGAACGAAAGACAAAAGGCTGAATTAGAAGGAAATAAAGGAAAAAGTTTATTTTGCAAGATTTCACTTAATGGATCATATGGTTACGATGCAATGAATACACAAAATTACGCAAAGACTAAAATAATGAATGCACAGAAGGCACGCGTTGCATGTATGTCAAATAAGTTTAAAAACATAAGAGAAATAGGTGAATACATATCAAGTGATGCTTAAAGATAGATTTTATAGATGTGATACATGTTTACAAGAGGCATTCTTCACTTTAGATAATGCTAAATACTGGTATTTGGTTTTCATTTATGATTTTATGTATAAATGCATGAATGTTAATCGTTTTCATTTCATTGAAGGTGATACTGATTCATCTTATTGGGCAATCGCTGGCGACCAAATCTTCCTAACACTCAAGCATTTCAAGCAATTGTTACCGATAAACAATTTTATGATAAAAACATTTTCAAATTCGCACCATTTGATTTCTTCTGTTTTGATGAGAAATTTAAACCTAAATTAAAGAATAAAGCTGAAGAAAAAGCACATGAGAAAAGTTATTGGGTTTAGCAATTGAGAAACAAGGTGATAACATGGTTGCTTTATGTCCTAAGTGTTATACATCATTCAACGGTTCAATTGATGGAAGTGATTTTAAAAAGATTGCACAAAAAATGAAAGGTGTTAGTTTACGACAAAATAAGCAATTAACACCTAAAAATTTTGGATATAATAAATGATAAAGTGATATTTGATGGTCAGAATATTAATTTACAACTTAAAAACGGGTCAATGACTCGCTTAACAATCGGTAAGACTGCATTAACAGGAGCACACTAAGGCTGTATGTTGTGAAAATGGATGTTGTATGCCATTTATTTAATACAATTTAAAATTTTATTCTTAATAAAATGCCACAGAAGAGACAAAAGGAACCGTTAATGATGGTTTTGATACTATGATTCAAAGAGGTGGGCACCCTTAAACATTTATTTTATTTTTATATAAATGGATAACACAGATTTAAAAATTTTAATTGATGATTTAGTACTTAATCAAAATTTTCTTAGTTATTACGATTTAAAATCATATCTCCAAAAACATAATAACAATATAACGGGTGATGATATGGAATATTATTATCCATATTATAAAAATGAAATTTTGAAATATCATAATAAAATAATTTCTGAAATTAAAGACAAAATTAAAAATAATGAATATACAAAGGGAAAAACTAAATCACAACTTAAACAGTTGAAAGATTTCAAAAATAAAGTATTAACAGAAGAAGATATTGATGAATTATATAAATTATATAATCCTGAGCCGCAAAAGCCAAAGGAACAAAAACAAAAGGTGCAAAACGCCCAGGTTCTTCAGACCATAAATGATGCACAAGCTTTAATTTATGATTCATTAGTTAAAGCATATTCAGCCCGACTTTTAAATGAAGATCAACTTTTGGAATTCATCCTTCAACATAAACTCGAAGCGGGAAAGTATATCAAACCTTTATATACAGCATATTTAAAACAAATGAATAGAATACATCCAGAATTAATGAAGGAAGGAATGAAATCCAAAATCAAAGCAGATAAAATTAAACCACTTGCAACACCAAAACCTCCAACGACAGTACCGCCTCCTCCTTCAGTTAATCCTTCATCATTCACTTTATTATATCCATTTCAAACATTAAAGAAGCAAAAAGATTTTAAAAAGGATTTCAAGATATTAAATAAATCAACTGACCCAAAAATTCAACCGTTAAAGGAAAAATTTAGTCGCCCTTCATTTGCACCATATCCATATTCATACGAAATCGATCATCTGGAATATTCAAAAGGAAACGTTACTTATTTATTTGCCATTAACATTAACACTAGATATTTATATTGCATTCCAGTGAAAGGGAAAACAGAACAGGAAACAAGAAGAGCTATTCAATACTTACTAGATCATGAAAGAGTAGATAATATCAGGGGTGATGGTGATAAAGGATTTCAGGCAGCTATGGCTCATTATTTCCCACAAATTAATTTTTTCTTTTCATCCTCTCCATATACGTTTCATAATAAAATAGTTGATGCGGTAATGAGAACTCTTAGAGATGCGTTAGGGGTTAACGGTCAGATATACTGGGATGGAAATCATGACTCCATCATACAACAGTTAGTATATTATTATAATAATACATGGCATAGAACAATAAACATGAAACCAGTGGAAATGAAAAATGATATTTCAAAAGAATGGGAATATATTAGAAAGCAAATGGAAAGGTTAAATGATGTTAAACGTGAACAAATTAATTCGGGGCTCATGAATTTTAAACAAGGGGATAAAGTTTTGATTCATCTCGATTATGGAAAAACTGATAAATCAATGACAAAAAGAAGACGAAGATTTGACACAATAGCTGAATTTGTTAGATATATTAACGGTAATGTATTAGTTGAAGTTGACAATAAATTAATAGAAATTCCGATTTATTTTATTACTCCATTATATTTAAATAATATTTAATTTTTTTATTTCGTAAGAAATGAGTGACAACAAAGCAGTCAAGAGTCCTGATTTAATTAAGATTCAGAGTCCAGACGATGAATATAAAAAGAAACTAAACAGAATTAAATCAAAAATATGCTATTACAAAAAGAAGCCACAATGCGGTGGGGCTGAAAACGATAAAGAAATAATCGAAAAATTAGAAACTTATCGTTCAATCCTTAAACTGAGTGAAGCAAAAATAAAAGAATTAAATAGAATAAATAAATTGATTGGAAGAGATGAATTTAATAAAGATGAATTTTTAAACTCAATCCAAATTTAATTTTTATTCCTCTTCGACAACATCTCTCTTTCCATCATTATTGCATAACCACATTTTCTCAATTTTAGTGGTTTGTTATTTTTAACATGTTCTTGCATCATTTTTATCATTTCCTCCCTTGTTATGATTCGTGGTAAATTTTGAGCTTGTGGGGTATCCATTTATGATAAAAATAAAAATTTGTTATCACTTATTTTATCGTTAATGTTTTCGGGTTATTCAATAATTAATTATTTTTGAAGAACTGAAGGTGTCACTACGTCACCATGTGTCACTCGGTCATTTAACTTCTCTGAAAAAATGTGACAACGTGACATTTTGACAACAACACAGGAGGAAGGTAGTTATGAATTATTTTTGAAGAACTGAAGGTGTCACTACGTCACCATGTGTCACTCAGTCATTTAACTCATGACATTTAGACATCAACACAGGTTATTCAATAATTAATTATTTTTGAAGAACTGAAGGTGTCACTACGTCACCATGTGTCACTCGGTCATTTAACTTCTCTGAAAAAATGTGACAACGTGACATTTTGACAACATTTACGAAAATTTGATGCAGTCCAAAAATAAAGTTAGTTTTAAAATTATTTTTATTTTTTTATTCCTATATAAATGACAGCAACAAACAACAACAGCAACTTTATCGTTTCTGATGAAAAAGTTATTGATTCATTAGCTGAGGAATTAGTTGTGGCAGAAACTAAAACCCTCAACGAAAGAATTGGTGAAAACAGGATTGATTTACATAACTACCTCAAATATGATGGAGGAAGAGGAAGGAAAACTGGTATGGCTTTATTAGTAAATAAAATTTCAAATTTAACGATTATAGATGTTGATATCAATAAATCGTACAATGATGAACTTAAAGAAACAGTTAGAAAAGACATTTTATCAAAACTTTCGGATAAAGATGTTATCATTAAAACCGCTTCAGGAGGTCTTCACATTTATTGCAACACCAATTTCTTCTATTCAGTTTCGAACAGAATGATTAAATGTTATTCCTGCAATGATTATGATATTGATATAATGACTTCAATGGATGATTCAAAGCGTTCTTTAGTGGTTATGGCTGAATCAAGAGTTCGCAAGAATGCAACAGAACCAATCAATACATACTCATTCATTCGTGGAAGTTATGATTCAACATTAACTAGAACAGTGAATGATATATTAAATGATTTGAATATTAAGGTAAGAGTTGAACAGAAGAACGAAGAAATAAAGACTATCATGAATGAAAACAAAGATGTAAACATTGACGATAAACTTGCCCAGAGCATAGTTGATGGCATCTGTGATTTTGAAGTACATAATGACGGTGGAAACATGAATTTAGAAAAAGAAGTTACATTATTCACACTGTTTCAAGCTATTAATTCGTTACCTAATCATTTAATTAATGAAGCATATGATAACGTTTATAACTTCTGCAATTTAACTGAAAATGCAAAAAGTAATTTTGAAAAAGCACGTAGTAGATATGCACATTTAATGACTTCTCCATTTGTTTTAGTGAAGATTCTAAAACTTTATCAAAAGGAATATTATGATGAATATGTTTTACCTTTATTACGTAAGCCAAAAATAACATTTGATATAAAACTTGATGACTCGTTTTTGATAACAGATATTAGACGCAAGGCTGAAAATCATCAGTATAAAAACAGTTCTGAAGTAATTGAGGATTTATCACGTGTAATCCGTTTTGTAGATTGTGGAAACAAATATTTCATTCAAAAGGATTACAACATACACGACAAAATGAATCAAATATCATTCGTTCTTCAATCAAACATGAAAGAGTCACTTAAAATGATTAAATTATTTAAAGAAGAAGGTAAAACCATAACAGCATGGGACGTACTATTAAATCAATTGTCTTCATTAACCGTTAAGGGTGTTTGCTTTAAATCTGATTCTCCAGATGTTTTCTCAACGTTTCAGGGTTATAAATACAACATTCTCGAAAAGCCTGATTACTCAAAAATTGAGATGTTTATGGATTTCATTAAAGAAGCCATTTGTGATAATAATGATGAAGTGTATAAATACCTTCTCGGGTGGATTGCATCAATGATTCAACATCCTGGAATCAAGAATGAAACAGCAATTATTTTGAAAGGACTTCAGGGAACAGGTAAAAACAGATTCACGGACATTATTTCTGAACTTCTCGCTGGTTATTCATGTAAAAACATTACCGAAATAGGTGAGCTAACGGGTAATTTCAACTCAGTTGTTGAAAATAAAATGTTTCTTGTACTTAATGAACTCAAGAATGTAGGTGAAGACAGACTCGCAAACTTCAACGCTTTGAAATCAATTATAACGGATAATGAGATTAGAATTAATGAAAAGAATCAACCCAGAAGAACTGCTCAGAACGTTGCTAATTTCATTTTCGTAACTAATAACGTCTACCCTGTCAAAATTGAAGTTGGAGACAGAAGATACGTAGTTTTAAGGGTTAATGGTAAATTCAAGGGTCAATTTGATTACTTCAAGAATTTAATGGATTCATGCACTAAGGAATTTTATGATAATTTACTGACGTATTTTATGCAATATGACCTTTCATCATTTAATGTACGAATCATTCCGATGACTGAAGCCAAACAAGATTTAATAGAATTATCAACAAATCCTTTAGATGAATGGATAAATACACATTATGATGAATTGCGTGCAGGTATGACGTGTAAAAATGCTCTATTCTGCAAACCATCAGACATGAAAGACAAAAACTTTCAAATGAGTATTAAGGATAAATGTGAAAGGAAACAGAGAAGAATAGATGGTAAACAAACATGGTGTTATGTTTTGAAAGAAGAAATGAAAGGATTATATAAACAGGTTGAACCAAACGATAATGAGGAATCATTTACTGATGATGAAATACCTGTGAATGAAGCTTTATAAAGTATGATTGGAATTTATTTTTGCCTTCCTCCTGTGTTGTTGTCAAAATGTCATGTTTTCACATTTTTTCAGAGAAGTTAAATGACTGAGTGACACATGGTGACGTAGTGACACCTTCAGTTCTTCAAAAATAATTAATTATTGAATAACCTGTGTTGATGTCTAAATGTCATGAGTTAAATGACTGAGTGACACATGGTGACGTAGTGACACCTTCAGTTCTTCAAAAAATAATTCATAACTACCTTCCTCCTGTGTTGTTGTCAAAAATGTATGTTGTCACATTTTTTCAGAGAAGTTAATGACCGAGTGACACATGGTGGACGTAGTGACACCTTCAGTTCTCAAAAATAATTAATTATTGAATAACCTGAAAACATTAACGTAAACATTAACGTAAACATTTATTTCTGCAGTTCATCCATTACTTCATTACCTAATTAATTACAGACATAAAATATATTTAGTTCATTCGGTAAGCCTAAACCTTTGGGTCAAGTCTCAAGCACATTCAATGAACGCGGTACCATGCGAATACAGTCACAAATGGTGGCATGTAATCTTTACCCGAGCCTGTTGGATTTGTTGTGAAAGTGTTGAATGATTACCTGTGGTTCCACAGAAAATACCTGTGCTTGAATCTACTGGGTCAGTTGTGATATCATATCTATTCATTCCCATCTATCCGAACCCGCTGCAAGATTTATATAACCTCTTTTTGTTATTGAATGTGAATGATTACCTGTTGTGTTTGTAGTTCCTGTATGAGTGTGCGGTGGAAGGTTTGCTTCTTTAATTTTCTTCGAACCTCCTGTTTGCTTTGAATATCTAGCACAGTATAAGAATTTATCTACAATCTGCTTCCACATACCAAAACCTAAAACACTTGCTGGATTTGTTGAGTTCATTGACGTATAAATAGAACCAACAGGATATAATGTTTGAAGTATTTCTGTCTTTAATGTTTGAAGCTCTGTTTTGTCAGCTTTCTTATTTAATTCATCGTTAACATAAGTTTTATCTGCTTTAAGATCTAAACATCCTGAAACCCATTCTGTATCGGCTTTAACTTTAAAAGTCTCAAATGTCCATTCATGATACCATTCAACCTTTTCTTTAATTTCATTATCTTTTTCATCAACATAAACCAAATTTGCCTTCTTATTTAACTCACTATCCACGTATTCCTTATCCACCTTCTTCATTATGTCATTTAGGAAACCTTCTATGAATTCCTCATTTAAATTAAATCTTCCAATCTTCAAAACTTTAGGAAATGTATTTAATGCGTAATATCTCTGTTCTTCTGGTGGAATTGATGTTATATCATCCGTTATTCCTTTAATTTTTGAATTCATAAATAAAATTTCTTTTATATTTGATATCACTGCACCACCTTTGCAAACGAATTCGAAATGTTCATTTTTCAATACTATCTCCAAATCTCCATATTTCAACCTTTGCGTTTGTTCTGCCGTCTTTGAATTATATGCATATATGGCGTATGTAATGGTCTGAAGGACCTGGGTGTTTTGTGCCTTAAGTTGTCGTGGTTTAATCATTTATTATGATTTAAAAATAAATATTTAATCCGTTATCTCATCAGCTATTTTTTCTATTTGAAATTGCCATAATATTTCATTCATGAATTCTAAATCACAATCAAATAGGTCAGTTATTCTAAATTTAATATTTGATAAATCTTTTGAATGAAGAATAAATGAATTCCCGGATAATTGAAACGGATATGATAAAGAAAATGTGTTTAAGTTGATGGATAAAATGTTTTGTATTGATGGGTAAGAGTTATGGTCTAATGTTTGATGTGAAAATCTCATTGGGGTATTAACTTTATCACATTTGATTAAAATGAAATTGGAACCGGTGTCAGAATACAAAACATCCCCAACATCTTCTTTTTCAAAATTTAATATTCCCAACAATGAACGAAGATGAGGAGTACAAAATTTAATTTTCAGCGGAATTTAATAAGGTTATTTATTTCATCAAGTTCAAAAAGTTTATCAGGTTTTGATTTAAAATTTTCTCATACCATACGATAAATGATTCATTTAAATAACTTAAAATCATGTTAATATCCCATTTCGCTATCACATTATTTATATACATATCATACGTTTTTTCATGGTCATCTTTAATAAATGATATATAATCTGAAGGGTCTAAAAGAATGGGATTAAATTTACCACTCACAGAAACGAGAGTAACATTATAAATTCCGCTAACTGTTAAATTTAATTCACAGCTATTATTCGAAATAATATTGATAATTGACATTTTTTATTACGATTAAAAATATGGTAAAGCGTTATTTTCCAGTGATAAATAAAACTAGAATAAGATTACCTCAAGAATTCATAAATTCAACGAATATGAAATTCATTCATGTTATAAAATTTTAGTGTTTTCAGAAAATATGAGTCAATGTCATATTCATCAACAGGTTATATTTCACTTCATTCAAATTTAGTTCAATCAAACCCATATAATGACCATTTCATAAGATTTTCAGATGGTATTAAAAATGTAATTGATAGATTAAAATATGAACAGATTGACAATATCGAATTTTTGGAATTTTGGTTTAAATATCCCGATGGAAAAAAGATTGAAGTTAAAGATAAAGCTGATACTATAACAAAAACAATTACAATGACCGATCCGGATAGTGGGGAACAAAAAGAAATAAAACAAACGATAGAAACTGGTGAAAGGTCAATTATTATTGATTATGATTCAAAGGATTATTATTCAATAATGTTAATGCTTGAATATTAAATAGTCTTAACAAAGAATTTTTCAAGTGATATTTTATATTCATCAACTATTTTATTATAAATATCATTATATGTTAAATGAAGTTCAGTTGTTGTTCCGTTCTTTGATATCTTAATTGTGCTAATATCCTTTATAGGATTTATTTTTGCAACTGTTTCGCAGCATGAAACCTCATCATCTATGAAAAATTGAATCTTAACGTCTGAATCTTGAACATCACAAAGAATGGCGATAATGTGAATTAATGATTCATAAGGTAAAATAATTAAACCGGATTGATCAATTAAATTTATTATTGAATCATAATTATTAATTATTATATCACGGTAAATTTTCATTAATTCAGAATTAATGTCTATTTTATATGGGTTCTCGATGTTTGATGAAAGAGGTGGGGGGTAGGTTGGATAAGTGGGAATTTCAACAGGTTCTTTACCGGGTTCAGATAAAATGATTGGGTCTCCATCTTCTTTATTTTGCTCCTCCTCATTCTTCGGTAAGTCACGAGTTAATAAATTTGGTTGAGTTGCTGACCTTGTTAATTCAGGGCTAACATTAACTTTAACATTTTGAATAATTCGTGATTTATCATCATTTACGTTATAACCAACCGTAATCTCTGCTTTTGCGTTAGTGTTCTTTTGACTAGTGAAACGTCTTCTCATTTATAATCGAATAAAAAAAATATATTTAAACTTTTATTTTGCTGGAACTTTTGAATCTATTATTCCCTGTATTTGTTCATGAAGTTGATTTTTAGCATTTTCATCGAAATTAATAGACCGAATATATTCATTAATTGCATTCTTATAATCATCTGATTTCTCAAATTTTCTTTTATCTGATTCCTTAACTAAATCATAAGTTAAACCTCGTTGCTGATATAATGGTTTCTTAATTAAATCTTTGAATGCTTGAGATAAAGCACCTGATGCAATTCTTGCTACTATAATTGGTTGGAATTGCTGTTTAAGTTCATCTTTAACATTTGCGAAAACTGGATCGAATAAAGCAACTTTAAAGAATTTCTTAGCTGAAATTTCAGGTCTAATATTTGCATATTGACCATCAAACTGGTTAGAATATCGTGGTAATCCATCCGGTCCTCTTCAATAGCATTTAATTCTTCATTGAAATAAGAATATGGATTAGACGGTATGAATTAATTGGACCATTTTCACCTTCTCCAATGTATTGTTTAACAGCTTTTCCATTTTCATCAAATTGCATAGGATAACGTTCATTATATACTTTACGTTTAGGATAATCAGACATAGTTAATTTATAACCATTTATGACTTTAATATTTCCTTGACCATCAGTAACGAAAACTTCATTTAGACCATCAGGTTTTCCATTTGGACCCGTAATGTCTGCTTCGTGTGCTTCCCAATTTGGACCATGACGTTGGCATATGCTTGAGCTTCTGGTAATGTTAAAACGTTTCTCATTTGTTTAACATCTTTTTGAAGACCAGCAACAATATGAACTAATTCTTTCATTCCATCAGGAACTTTCATAGTTCTATTATATGCACCCCTTTTGTTTGTTCCTTGTTTTAATGGAACCTGTAGAAAATTTGCTATTTCTGTCATGTTTAATTATAAATAAAAAATAAAAATTAATTATAAAAAGTTAATCAAATTTAACACCCCTTTATTTAAATCAACTATTATTTTTCCATGTTCACCTAATTGCTGATATTGTGTGTAAAGTTCATTAATGCTCATTGGTAAATTCACTTGATAAAGCATAACGTTCAACTGTTGACGACTAAACCCACTGAAAATGAAAAGTGTTGATAGATTTGATTTAATGTTTGTGCTTAATGCTTTGAAATATTGAACAGCCATAAAGAATGAACACTGAATGTGTCGACATTGAGTTAATAACTGATTAAAATATGATTTCTCATTTGTTATTAGTTTTGATTT